TTAAAAATATTTGTTTGTCATACATGAATGACAAACAGAGGAAGAAGATGCAATGCCCAAACAACATTCATTCAAGGTTGGCTGAGTTCAAACTATTATAAAGTGTCTTTCAGACAAAAATGCTTGGGATTAAACTGTTCCAAACGTTCCGGCAGGCCTTTTCTATGATTATGATGAAAATGAAATAATTTTGTATTGACACCGTAACAATATATTTTTTGGTCAATATTGTTACATAATTATTTAACGCTGTGAAGTTTTTTCGCCAGTTTTTCTCCACAGCTAAAAAAATGTCCTTAACTGGTGTCTGGTGGTAGGGAAAAATTGGACGATTCAAAAGAATTGTATTTTGCATCCAATTTGAATAAAGATATTTTGACTTTTGATTCTCTAAACCTAAATTTAATAACAACAGTGTATCCTTATCATTCACTCTACAAAATGAAATGGAAAGACTGATCTTTAATTTAGTTTTAGAGAATCATGCCAGAATAATCGACACCAGTATCGCCTTTTTAGACCTTTCTCTACACTCGCACACTTCATGTGGACCTATGATTTTGATGAAAAATATTTACACAGCTTCATTAATGCATATCAATCAATACGTTTACGTAAAATCAACATTGATATATTGACTCAAATTGAACAAGTAACTACTAGGTACGATAATGACATAACGATTAGGACGAAATTGACGTCTCAATTGGTCTGAATATCGTAAATACATCACAATGCACTTTCAAAAGCTACCTCGTTCATAAAATAAATAAAGAATAGCAAAATACAAACGCGCCCACATGAAAACAGTGCGGACGGCGCACACGCATTGAGCACAGATATTGAACACATTCCACTCTACGTGCCGGGGTAATAGATTTACTCGATACTCTGCATTATCAGCTAAATACCATTTCAATATTTCTGATGGCCACATTTACTTGCAATAAAAATAAATATAGCTCGTGGATGGTGATATGGTAAATGCATACATTTTGTTCGTGCTAGGTACTTGTGTATTCAAAGTTTCAAACTGCTCTGTTAAGTATTTTTTAAGATATTCTTATCTACAATAAAAAGATTTCGCACAGAACTTAGAGATAAAGTGTACATACGTATGATAAAAAACCGGTCAAGTGCGTGTCGTGCCACGCGCAGTGTAGAGTTCCGTAGTTGCCTGTAGTTACCACAATATATTTGAGCAGTTTTTATTTTCTGTATCGGTAATTATAAATTTTATTCTAGCATTTTGTCAGCTTGATCTTTAAACATATCTCCAAAAAATTACAGCTCACTAGTGCTAATAGTCTCCAGGTAAAACCGGGGACGGACAGACGGACATGACGAAACTATAAGGGTTCTTTGTCAGGACTACGGAACCCTAAAAAAGGAGAGGTATACACATATAAAGGTATTACATATTATAATCAAAAAAATATAGCATTAGGATTACAGATCAAAAAAAGAGAAAAACATGAAAACGGAAGGATTAGGTACAATTTTATTTTCAAAAATGATACGAAAACTACATAAGTTGGCATATTATTACCGGAAATAATAATATGTTTGCGCCATTTATCAATATTGTTTTATTTGTTTTCACGTCCTGGAGTTGACGCCCAAATGCCGCCCCTGGGCGGGAAAATATAACTAACTAATAATTACAGACAAATCTTCCACGGGCTTTTTTTTCTTTATTTTATTAAAGAGGTCTTTTATTACAGACAAATCAGATTGATTATGTCATCCTCGAAGATCACATATCATAGCCTACGTATTATACCAATTTTAACAATTTTAGTCAATAATCTAGCTTTTTCTTAAAGCGGAAAAGCTAGAATGTCCGCGGTCTTTATTATTGCATTTATCATAATTTGTACTTCTCTTTCAGTATGATTGTTTGCTGATGTGTATTTGACGTCGATAAGAAATTTAGACAAAGTATGCAGAATTTCATATTTATTGCACTGAAATATATTCATGGAAAGCGTATGCCTCAAAACTCTGATTATTTTTAGAAAACTTTCTAGGCACAACTAGATTCACACAAAATTTGAGGAGCTGGCGAACAAAACCTTATAATTACATAAAATTAAATTTTACTGGAGCTGTATAAAACTGAATTACATACCTACAGTGAGGTTTTGGCATGGTTTTTAATTTATAAATTTAGTAATTTTCACACTTTTTTCAATTCAACGGGCCCGAAACCTCCGGACTGTAAAAAAAAGGAATTTGACCAGAATTTTACCACGTAAGGTACTTTTTGAGTGAATTGTTGTAGTTATAGTTGATACTTGCGAATAAAAGGTAATCAAAAACAAAATAACAATTCTAGCTGGGAGCATTTTTTATTTACTAGAATAAATTGAGAGAATCTCACAATAATATGCACGAGTCTCAAAAAATTTGGGATAGGTAATTTGAAATTTGTCTCAACTAACCTTCAATCAGAATGTATATTTTATAATTTAATTAGATTTCATTATTAAAAATAAAATCTTTATTTTGTGTTTATATTATTATTATTATTTGATTTGATGTAAGTGTTTAAAATTATTTTATATATTTTTATGCTGAAAATTTTATTTATTTAATAACTCTCGTGTTCAATGGCATATTTACATAATAATAAGAGAATATACAATATTTATTAAATTATTTTCTAGCAAACATTTCTTTAGATTTAAACATCTCGCAGTTAAATGCTTCAAATAAATAAATCAAACTATAATTGCTGTTTCTTCTTTCAAATGTTTAATACTTGAAAAAGTTTTCATTTGACATTGTGGGTTGCCTACAATACGAAGAGATGGCGCTGTCATGCAGCATGAAGCTAGGAAAATTTCGACGCGGCTAACAGGGCCGTGGTAGCAGTTAAATGCTTTAAAATAAATAAAAACATAACAAATATAGGATACTTAAGAAACTAAGGGTTTTATATGTTGTCTTATGTTTGCAACATTTGAATGTTAATTGAGACAAGAACTTTGTCAAATCGTAATTTATGATCCTTTAAGAAGAAACAATGACTTTATGTTAAAATCACAATCTTGAATTTAAAAAAGGACTGACTGATTGAAATTGAAAACTGTCTCATGTACTCGTGTTGTATGCGTTAACGGTACCCAATATTATTTTCAGGCTAACTTTTTTAAAAGTCCAATATGTGAAGCAAAATTAAAAATAAAATATGTAGGTAACCCGAACATTTTGTAAAATTCTAAATAATTTCAGTTTCTTTTAAAAAATTGTGGGAAATCAATTATGAAGGCGCGTATCTAGGTACTTGATCTAGGTACTTGATCTATAGACATTTTTGATGTTTGCACCTAACATTTTTACCTTCATCGCCTGTAGTGTTTAATCTATTTTGTGGTTTAAGCAACAAACTATAAACATGCCGGAGCAATCTATGTTGAAATCTAAAGAAAAGTTTACTAGAAAAATATCCACGCGGACCAGGCAGCGGACGGGACTCGAACCCGCACCCTTCGCAATCCGGGCGAATGCACTGACCATTATGCTACCACGGCCCTATTAGCCGCGTCGAAATTTTCCTAGCGTTAAGCTGCAAGGCAGCGCCATCTCTTCGCATTGTAGGTAACCCACAATGTAAATGCTTAAAAATAAATATAATCATAACAATCTATGTTGGTTAGGACATGTGTAAGGTTGTCAAATTTTGTAACGAAAACTACCCAATAATTCAATTAATACAATAACCACATACTTCCATATCATAACATGGCTGGCACGCACAGTTTTGCGGTAAATATTTTTGTAATGATCTAGATTTTTCCTAGAAGGCAACTGTTGTGCGTTCCGGTTGGCACTGTCTGCACTTTCGATTTCCAAGGTCCCTTCAATGTACGTGCGCGTACTCCGCCCAACTGCTGACATATCGGTAACAACTCCAACTGAATCTGAGCCTTAACACCTGCACTTAGGCCATGTAGCACGGAAAATATATCTGGACATTGTAGCGCTATAAATTGCAATATGTAATTAATGGTTTGTTCCAAAGTCAGCTAAACGGAGCTGTCGGATAATGGGTGTTGATGTAGGGCAATAGCCGGCGCTCACGGATATGGTTGGACATGTAAAGGCTATCTGAAGGTGATGGTTGAAATCGGTGTGAGCATTTCTACTAATACTACTATGTATGTGCGTAGATAAACATTCATAATATCGAATAATATGATCAATAATAAATTAATTAATTAAGATAAAGAATTGAGAGACCTAAATAATTCATTTCAGAAATCAGAAATCAATATATCTTTATTCAAATTGGATGTATAGTACAACTCTTTTGAATCGTCCAAAAATTTTTTTCCCTACCACTCGTTATGGACATATTTTTAGCTGCGGAGAAAAACGAGCGAAAAAACTCCACAACATGACCTCGACCTCCGTGGCCGAGTGGTTTATACACCGGGTTTCATGGTGTCGCGTCGCCGACTCGACAGGGACCGGGTATAAATCCCGGTGGGGGCAGATGTTTGTATGATGAATACGAGCATTTGTAATCCAGTCATGGATGTTTAATATGTATTTCTATATAAATATATATGTACAGTATATGTATTCTACCCCTTACCCTCAGCATCCCATAACACAAGCCTTATACCCCCTTATTAATAAACGAGGAATAAGCGTAGACTAGTTACACTGTGTTTTATTCATATCACTCAAGTGCCATTTGTCATTCAATAAAAAGAGACAAACCATAGAGTAACTAATCCAAGCTTAGTCTTAATTTATTAATAAGGGGTATAGTGTTTGCTTTGGGGCTAGATAATTGGTGTGTGTTGGAAATGTTTATTTATCTTTACTCGTGATACTAAAAAGTTTCTCAAGGTACGTTACCATTTCTATCTCACAGAAAGTTTTTATTTGTGACTTTATTGTAATGATTACACGGAATTTCCAACACTGACTGTGATGAGGATAATAAAATGTTATTAATTAATTAAATAAAAAAATGCTGCAAAAGAGACGGGTCTGATTGTATTGGTCGGGCTGTTACTGAGCGCCCACTCCCGGCCGCTATCCCACTACTGCCCGATGCGGGGACTTTTGGCTGCTGGGTTTCCCCCCTGGCCCGGTTCGCCCCTCCTTAGTTAACCTGCACTTTCCAGACTCCTCCGGAAAGTCCATATTAACACCAGGCTTAGTGCGGACGTCCAGTCAACATGTGCCACTCAGCACCAGGACTCCCGACCTCAAACCATCCTCCGGCCCCGACCTCCGAGTAGCCGGATTACAGGAGACGCCACGCTCCCAGTCGAAAGGTTTGACGAAAATAGTGATCATATTGTACTCTTGTGCATGTTCAAATCATGAGAGCATGAAAATTTAGAAAATAATACCAAGACTTGTACATTCACTTATTTTTATCATTGATATTTTTTTGCTCATTTGCTACGTTTTCAGAGTTCCTAAAGTATTCTTATTACAAAAATAACTATTTTCAATATACATATTTGTTTCCAATGCTGAGTGAGCGCCCTCTGTTAAAATTAGTTCAAATAAAAATAAATACTGCGTCTATAACATGTCTATAATAAAAAGCATCAAGATTATTATATTAGTTAGAGACTTGAAACGTAGAGGGCGCTTTAGGAGAAAACTAAAAAATGATAGTAAATAAGAACTTTTGTTTGTAACACTGATGGCTTTAATAAATGCAATTCAAAATTACAATAAACTAATACTTTTTTTATTTCAATTAGATTTTTTTTCTTGTACAAATATAGTCTGTCTGTTGTGACTGATGATGGCAACACTGGCAACAGCTGTTTCTGCCATAGACATTATTGTTTGTCACATTGTTTCTGCGCTTTTGTCAAATTTTATTTGAATATCCAGTCTACAACGGCTTTTCAAATGAAATAATAAAACTAAAAAAAATCAGAGGATAAGAATAAAATTCTATCCTTCAGTCAGAAGACTATGTGTGACAAAGAAAACTATGATTTCAACAGGTAAAGTTTGTATTTCAGTAACGTCTAATTTGAACTTGCGCGCTGTAATGTATTGATTTTCTTTCCAAAAATAATACTACTGGATGTAAATAAATCATAAGATCTCGTGTAAATGTATTTGAGGACATTATTAATTGTTTATGATGAGTTAGTTGCATGTTATTATAGTAAATGCTTTAAAAAATGACCAATTTTACCGGTGTTTTAGTAGAGATGACGCGGAATCACCAGGCTGTACTCCAGCAAAACCTCGTTTAGGAAAATTTGTTGATGTTTACTCACCTCAACATCTTAATTTGACACCAAACAATGTAAGTGTCTGAATGTGCATGAATTTAATTAACTCGGCGTTAGTAAATTTGTATCAATTGTTAATTTTTTGGAACAATGTTCAATTGCAGAAACAGAAACTTGACTTTGGCTTAAGAGATGAGAGTCCTGACTTATATACACCTGATAAAAATAGTGAAAGGCGAGATGATTTTAAATGCAGGTTTGTAAACTATCTGACAGTGTACAGTATCCATATCCTGAAAAATAATAATTTATCTCACTAGTGCTCCCCACCTTTGACTTTTAATCAGTGACTTTTTATTCCTACTACCCTTAATTTTAGGACTGTCAAACCAGAGGCCCGCTACCGTCATGTACTTGGCAACTGTTCATTCGAAGGCAACCAGAGCTTCCCACGCTTGAGTCGTAGAGTGAGACCTATTAAAATGGAGCTGGAAACTCCAACAAAGGTCAAACCTCCGTCTGACTTTGTAAGAGGTATGTTCATCTACTTCTCTATTTTTAATACTGTGTTCTAGCTCATGACAAAATGTTACTATGTCAAAATATCACATTTAGGTATTCTGATACTAATGTATGAAATCATTGTTTCATAGTTGATGGTCCCAATGGTCTGCGCTTCAATACTTCATTAGCAGCGGGTGATAGAGCCGGGTCTCCAGCACAATCACAAACAGACCGCTTGCAGCAGACTATCAACCCAAGTAAAGCTGTTTTTACCATCGAGCCTAACTCTTTCAAAGTAAGTAAAATATAAAGAAAAGTTTACTAAAAAAAATAATCCACGCGGACCAGGCAGCGGACGGGACTCGAACCCGCATCCTTCGCTATCCGGGCAAATGCACTGACCATTATGCTACCCCGTCCGCTGCCTGGTCTGCATGGATTTTTTTCTAGTAAACTTTTCTTTAGATTTAAACATCTAGCAGTTAAATGCTTAAAAAATAAATAAAATCATAAGTAAAATATAAATGACATTTACCTCTTGTTTGTGAATAAATTAAATTGAAATTTACCTTTGCATGTAAAATATACTTTTTTCATTAGTGTTATGTGTGTAAAAGCTTTTATTTACATATATTTTATTTACAGATACTGATTGTGAATAACAAGGCATGTTCCTTACTTGGCTACTCATCGGGGGAGCTCTGTGACCTTCAGTTTTCTGATCTATTACACAGCAGGAGTAGCCATGCATTCAAGCTTCATGAGCCAGAAGATGCTGACAGCTCTGAAAATCGTCCTATGGTTCTCCTTAGTGGAAAGGTATAGAGGATACAGATAAATAATAAACAAAAGATAAAATTGATTAAAAAAAATGTCCTGAGATTGTGATAAAATATTATTTTAGGTGGTAGAACTCGTGACCAAAGATGGAGGCACAGTGCAGGTGTCATTGTGGATAAGGCAACTGGACAATGAGGGACCCTGTCTTGTTGTGGCTGAACCTGTCACTTGTAAGAATGTTAAGGTCAGTATAACAATAGCATATACATATTTTATTTACAAATAAATTATGTAGCCATTACCTTACCTATATGGTGCTGATTAAAAATAAGTGTTTCTTTGTTTTTGTATTCTATGCCTTTAAATTTTTTGTTTAGTTTTTTTATTTTATTTATTAATATGTTGTGAGGCGCTATAAATGTTTCTCTCTTTCGTCCTTTAATCAATATCACGAAATACCTCTAACAACTCAGTCAGCCATGCTCAATTTGTCATTTAATTGCATTCTTATAATGCTTCCGATTAGGCCTCCTGTAGAAATGTCTGTATATTGACATAAATCAATCAACTGGTTTGTGTGTATATTAATTCATTTTAGCACACTTTATAAGTACACTCCATACATGGTATAAATTGTAAAAGAAGACAGCGGTAATGGATGTCAATTGGTCCCATGGTGGCTTACAATACATGATCTGTTTCATGCATACATTAAATATTAAATTATTGTAACATATTATTATGTGTGTATCAAACACCTCCATTAGATGTTGGTGGAGGGCGAGACGGGGGTGATAGTGTCGTGCACGGGCGAGGACGCGTCGCTCCTGTTCCAGGCTGACAGTACGGAGCAGCTGGTGGGGCTGCCTCTCTCCCGCCTCGTGCCCTCCATCCGCCTGCCCGCCGCCGCCGACCCGCCACGCGTCTACAAGCAGAAGGCCACAGGTACCCCTCCAGCCCCGACACCTGGAACCAAGCAGAAAGCCACAGGTATCCCCTCCAGCCCCGACACCTGGCACCGAGCAGAAGTCCATCCCCCTGCCATCTGCCATGGGGAAATAGCATTATGTTACATTCACCTTTCATAACTATAATGAACTTATTATACAAACAGATGCTTTGTCCTTCATTAGTTTAGGAATAAACAAGAAGCAGAACGATCTTTATTCTTGTTTGTTAGCTGACTGTGAAACTGTTTCTACAGTTTAAAGACGGCATTTTACAAAAGAATTACAGTGCACTAGATTTTTTTAAGTTTACATTTTGCGAATTGCTTGAATCAATATTTTATATTGATATTACAATACATGTGATAATACTTTGCTACTTATTTGCAGGAAGAACGTTAGATGGCGCGTCCTTTCCGTTGTGTTTGTGGATATCTAAAGCGGACAGCCCAGACGATTCCTCATGGACGTCTGCTAAATATAAAGACAAATCAATTTTGGAAGTCAATATTAGGGTGAGTTGTAATTTTGGTAATTTCAGTATTTGCTTCACATTTTCTTTGTAGATCAATAAATTAGTATACAGTTTAGTTAAGGTGTCTGTACTAGTAAAATGTTAATATTTCAACTGTCACTTTCTTCTTAGCAATATGCTGTAGTAGAACTAAGGTCCCCATTTGTTTTAAGAGTTACTTGTTCTGACACATTTAAAAAAATATATATATGGGTGTTTCACTGTAAACTTATAAAAGTCCCATACAAATGCCTTCTTGGTAATTTTTTTGAAAATTTGTATAAAAATCGAGTTTTATTAAGAAGAAAATTAGCAATTCTCTTAGTGAGATAAGGAAGCCAACTGAATTTATACCGAATTACTAGCGATTATTATACTGAGAAAAAAGGCAGTTTACATTATTCAAATATTTATTTTTATGGCATAACTGCGCACCAATAATCAAAAAAGTCTTATATATTCATACTAGCAAACCTGGCAAACTCCGTTTCACCATCAGATGGCTTCGTTTTATGTGACATTTCGTTTGGTGATTAAAAGAAGATTTTTTTTTTGAAATTTTTCCTGAATTTTCTTTGCTATAAACCTCACGGAGCCCGAGACCTTACCAACGAATGCAAAACCGTGGAAATCGGTTCGTGCGTTCTGGAGTTATAGCGTCAGGAAGGAAAACCCGACTTATTTTTATATAGTAGATTAAAAACTAACCTTCCTGCTAAAAACATTTTGCTCTTACTGAGAGCAACATAGTCCTATTATTAAAATATCAATCAGCACATGCTTTATTTAATATTTGGGTGATTCTCAGTTAAGAGGTAATCGGTTGTATGGAAGCAGTGGCACAGCAAAATGTATCGATATTTATATAACTACTAGTGGCCCGCCCTCGCTTCGCTTCGGTGTAGAGCTGTAGTGTAAACTATACTTTTTGTTCTCAGGCTTGTGCTATAAAGAATGACTTTATTTATATAATTACACGTGTTATTGTGAGTCAACCATAAAAGATAGACATATGCTGTTGCGGGATATTTTTTAGACAATTTTATCCTTACACGCCTGAATAGCTCGCAGATTGCAGAATTTTTTCAGACTTAAATGACATTTATCGTTATATTTTGGACAATTCACACAATATCTTTATAAATTATAGCCTATGTGTTATTCTGATCTATAAGCTACATTACTGTAAAGTTTCATTAAAATCCGTTTAGTAGTTTTTGCGTGAAAGAGGAACAAACATCCATCCATACATCCATCCAAACAAACTTTCGCCTTTATAATATTAGTAAGGATATCACTACTTTTATCAAGACAGATGATTTTAATATGATTTTAAGATGATCAGTCATTTTTTTAATCTATTCTCGTTTTACGAGATACCAGGGGAGATACTGAGTACAGGGTAGAGACAAGATGAACTTTATTGTAATGCGCTTAGAGCGCATATTAGGATGCACTGTAAAGTACTTATCTGTGCAATCAGATTTTAGTGGAATAACGATATAAACCGAAACAATTTTCTAAAATATATGCAATTGTACATTCTCTAATGAATTATCATTACTGTTATTGAGCTATTGCATCATTTTTATAGTTTTGTTAGTAGCCTGGCACCATAACAGCCAGGGGAAATATGGCAGGGTAGAGACATTTTCGTTAAAAATCTAAAATTGCCGTAAAACTACTAATTTTACAAAGATTTCAAATAAATAAAAGGTTTGCAGCACTATTTAAAATAAATGTAGATAGATATTGTAGTATTTAAACACATAAATACGAAAAAAAAATGACCAGGGTAAATACTTCGATCACTCAACATGGCTGCACTTATCGAGCATCGTTGCGCAAATGGCCAAAAAAATTGCCGCGCGGATGGCTTGTGCAGCGCTTGCTGCTAGCTCATGTGAGACTCGGTGTCTTCAAGGTCAGAACTACCACAGACTATGGTAAACAAATACGATTTTCAAACTAAACCTAAGGCCAGGGGGCGAGACACGAAACTCGGAGGACACAGTTGGCGATTAATATTTTTTATAAAAAATGCAAATATAAATGAATTTAATGGTTACATACTGTAACTAAGTTATCAGGGTTCATGTTATTACCGATAGAAAAGTAATAATTAAATTTCAATGGACTCAAAATTGCTGATTTACAAAAAAAACGGTTAAGGGACAACCCAGGGTAGAGATGTTTTTCCTCTTTGTACTGTTATTGTAAGTAAATTATGCACATTTAGAATATAATTTTAAGTGACAATTTATAACACATTTAGTCTATTGAAATTATTAAGATTTTAGACCATAATTTCCAAATATTCGTGCGCAGCGCAGCAAATTATTCGTGCCTCGACAAAACAGCCGCTTGCAAAATAGAAAAACTTTCCAACTTCCTTCATGCCGCACAAATCTTGGTCAGCATTCGCCAATCTATCGGATGTTGTCTGCTTGTAATGCAGTTAGACATAGTGTTGACATTTTCGGCGACTCTATTGCGGTAATGAAAAAAAAGCTAAAAACATTGTTGCAAATGTAGGTGTAAGGGTAGTACTGTGTACATAAAATATTATAAAGAATTCTAACATTATTTATAAAGTGCATGCTGTGTTTGCATTTATAAGATTTGTGATACTGTTATGATACACTGTATGTAATTATTTTGTCATTTTCACATTTCGGTTTTGCAAACCAAAGCAAAAAAAAAAAAAGTTAAATAAAAGTTTTATTCTGACGACATGTCATAAATAAATAAAGTTTCGTGCATTAACCCGTAAAAACTAGTTTTATTTAATGAGTGATGTGCGTGAAAACCTAAGAAACAAATATTAATATAGTTATTAGAAAACAGTATTAGAACTACTTAGTATAGTTATATTTATATATCATACATATTTTTCTTATTATTGGTAGTTATAAGAAGTCGATTTTTTTGCGGGTGGAAATCCCTAGTTTCATAGACAACGGTTCTACATTTTCCTCATCCAGTGGTACCACTGACTCGCTTGATATTGTGTCTCAATAAAGCTCTTTACTCTTCGAACCAGAGCCTTCTTCTGAGGCTGTTTTTCAACAGCCACGCAAATAGCTTCTGGGAGATCACGTATCCCTGTCGCACTCCTCGCTGTTAGAAGTATCATATCATAGTATGATTTTGTATACGGACTGTCATGGATTTTGTTTCGTACATACTCCTCAGCTGGAGCGATATTCGATACGGCACTTCTGCAAAGACCTCAAATTTAAAACACAGCCCATTCTTCCACCAAATCAAAGGCTTTGCCATAGCCCACAAACGCTAAACATAGTGCCAGGTTATATATTTCGGTCTTTAGTATAACCTGCCGCGGCGTATGGACGTGGTCCACGGTGTAGAAACTTCTGGAATCCTGCTTGTTCGGAAGCTTAGAAGTCGATTAACCTATTAATTTAACGAGTGACGATTGGTAATGACTCTCGAATACAACTCGTAAATGTGTCTCAATATCGAAATGAGTTTGTCTTTAATTCTTCAATATGGGGTCTTTGAAAGCAAAGGTTCTTGAAGAAACTTTTTGTAATAACACGGAATACGTAATTGTCGTTTTACAAATGTTGAACTTTGTGCAGCGGTGCTATGTGTGACCGGTTAGGGTATAAGGTAGTGGTGTGGTGCAGGTGACATGCAACGTGAGCGGGCTCCTGGTGGTGGACGAGGCGGGGCTGGTGGCGGCCTGCAACCCTCACTTCGCCGCGCTGACCTTCGGGCAGCCCCCCGCCGCCGTGCTGGGGCAACCTGTGCGCCGCCTGCTGCCCGCCTTCTGCCGGCCCGCAGACCTGCTGCAGCCCGCGCCCAGCGCCACCGGCGCCCGCGCCCGCGCCCGCGCCGGCCCCCGCCCGCCCCGCGGTCAGTATGTGTCCCGCCCCCGCCTCCGCCCCCGCCTGCTGCCGGCCCGCAGACCTGCTGCAGCCCGCGCCCAGCGCCACCGGCGCCCGCGCCCGCGCCCGCGCCGGCCCCCGCCCGCCCCGCGGTCAGTATGTGTCCCGCCCCCGCCTCCGCCCCCGCCTGCTGCCGGCCCGCAGACCTGCTGCAGCCCGCGCCCAGCGCCACCGGCGCCCGCGCCCGCGCCCGCGCCGGCCCCCGCCCGCCCCGCGGTCAGTATGTGTCCCGCCCCCGCCTGCTGCCGGCCCGCCGACCTGCTGCAGCCCGCGCCCAGCGCCACCGGCGCCCGCGCCCGCGCCCGCGCCGGCCCCCGCCCGCCCCGCGGTCAGTATGTGTCCCGCCCCCGCCTCCGCCCCCGCCTGCTGCCGGCCCGCAGACCTGCTGCAGCCCGCGCCCAGCGCCACCGGCGCCCGCGCCCGCGCCCGCGCCGGCCCCCGCCCGCCCCGCGGTCAGTATGTGTCCCGCCCCCGCCTCCGCCCCCGCCTGCTGCCGGCCCGCAGACCTGCTGCAGCCCGCGCCCAGCGCCACCGGCGCCCGCGCCCGCGCCCGCGCCGGCCCCCGCCCGCCCCGCGGTCAGTATGTGTCCCGCCCCCGCCTCCGCCCCCGCCTGCTGCCGGCCCGCAGACCTGCTGCAGCCCGCGCCCAGCGCCACCGGCGCCCGCGCCCGCGCCCGCGCCGGCCCCCGCCCGCCCCGCGGTCAGTATGTGTCCCGCCCCCGCCTGCTGCCGGCCCGCCGACCTGCTGCAGCCCGCGCCCAGCGCCACCGGCGCCCGCGCCCGCGCCCGCGCCGGCCCCCGCCCGCCCCGCGGTCAGTATGTGTCCCGCCCCCGCCTCCGCCCCCGCCTGCTGCCGGCCCGCAGACCTGCTGCAGCCCGCGCCCAGCGCCACCGGCGCCCGCGCCCGCGCCCGCGCCGGCCCCCGCCCGCCCCGCGGTCAGTATGTGTCCCGCCCCCGCCTCCGCCCCCGCCTGCTGCCGGCCCGCAGACCTGCTGCAGCCCGCGCCCAGCGCCACCGGCGCCCGCGCCCGCGCCCGCGCCGGCCCCCGCCCGCCCCGCGGTCAGTATGTGTCCCGCCCCCGCCTCCGCCCCCGCCTGCTGCCGGCCCGCCGACCTGCTGCAGCCCGCGCCCGGTTCCCGTCGCCTTGGAAGGCCGTGGAACCATAGCGCCTCAGTTTTGTGAGGCGCTATTTCTAGACCCAGCCGGCGGATTGCCCTAACGACACATGCCACCCCCAGCTCGGCAAGCCTGAGTGTTTGCCCGAAGTCGGCCTCCGTCGTCACGACGAGAGTCGTCGGCGTAACAGACGACACACGTCGCAAGGAAGGCTGGTGCGAAGGACAGCGTCGTATGCGAGGTTCCATAAAAGAGGCCCCAAAACTGAACCCTGTGGAACGCCGCACTCGACCCCCCTCGTCGTATCCGTCCCGTTCCTTCCCACCACTCAGATCGTCCTGTCGCGCAAGTAGTCCCCAACCACGGCCCGCACGTAGGGGGGCAACTCGTGGTATTCGAGTGCTTCCCTGATGGCCTGCCAGGGGAGGGTGCCAAAGGCGTTGCCGATGTCCAGGGTACCTACTAAGATCTAAGAAAACATTGTTCATCATTCATCCTGACCCTTGAATAAATCTATTTAAATTATGTAATTGAACGAAATCTTTATTATCGGAATCAAATCGTTGACTAAAGATAAATTTGGTTAAACATATAAAACTTTCAATCAATTCTAAAGTCTATTTTTGAAACCGCGATCGTATTCCAGATTCGGACACGGACGACGACTCGTGCGGCGCCTTCAACGGTAGCCAGAAATCTCTGAACGTGCAGCCGTCGCTGTTATCCGCCACCAGGGAGAAGTCGTCCAGCGCCCTGTGCCTGGACAAGTCGGCCAGCCTGGTGACGCACACGCCCACACCCACGCAGGACATGGTGTCCAGCATCAGCACCACGGAGCAGCGCAACGACCTCTCCGCGCTGCCCGACCTCACCTCCGGCATGTCCGGCATATCCATAGACGACGACAACTACTGCCCGAGCTTGTCCAAATCCCGTTCTGAAAACATTCTCAGATCCGAGCACGCCGTCCCTGGGAAACTCGCTAAAGGGACGGAGAAGTCCGATTCTATATACTACACGTCGCAGCACTCGCAGGAGGTCACTCCGACGGGAGGAGCGCCCAGAGTGAGAATCAACGATCCTTCGTTGCGTCTGTCCTTCGACTCCAGCAAATACAAGTCTTTGAAAGCGAATTTGCCGGGCCAAGTGATCAAAGACGATAAAAGCAGTCTTTCTTTGGATTTCTGCGATTCTAACGAGACTAGCGCTGATTTCCTGACGCCTATCAATGAGATGCCGCCGCCGGGCTGCGAGCTGGAGGAGCTGCCGCATCACAACGGCACCGAAGCCAGCGACACCTTCTACAATGACGACCTGGACACGCACACCGAATCTGTGCCCAAGAAAAAGTATGAAGGTAGTCGTTTTTTATATTTTTTTATTCGTGTTCACTGTAAGGTGTAGAAATATCGATCAGTCAATATTTCTCGACGTGAGTTCAAGTTCTCATGTTAACATCAGACAAAAATCACTTTCATAGACAGGCAAAATTAGCTCTTCGAGCTCTTTCTAACGTACCAACAGCAATGTTTCTATCTCTTTTCGTTGTGTAGATTTTGAAATTTAAAATGTATATTAACATTAATTTTATGATTATATGATGATAATAATTAGAGAACACTTTGATTACTATGATGACTGAAAGTTTTCTTAAATATAGATATTATTTTTAGGGTATTGCAGATTAGAGATTAAACTCAGATGACAGAAAATATTGTTGCCAATAACCACATACCTTTTCATATACACTTCACTTGACTATTCGTTTTCGCTATGTTTACTGTCTACTTCTGTCCACGTCTGTCCTATCATGATTTATAAGGAATGAAAAGTACAGACTGATGTCAAATTTACAAATAGCAAAGTGAAGTGCTAGCATGAGAGCGACGGTCAATCAAGTTCAGTGCTTTTTCAACATACCTTATAGTAGGGGAGGCCACGATGCTAAATGGGGATTGACTCGAGCCTCTTGAAAGACCTATTGAATTTTGAAGATCAGATGGTAGAAAGAAAAAAAGTTTATATGATGCATACCCTTTCACCGAAAAAATGTCTATCTTTCAAAATTTAAAAAAAAAATAGTCACATGGAAATACTCGAGCGGGACAGATATTGATATTGTATATGGCCGTTGTGTCTCTAATGACGGAAGAATGTTAATCTGCCGATTTGCATGGTGGTACTAGCCGTACGAATGGATTGAAAATGGGGGGAAAAAAATTTACTCGAGCGCGTCAGATATTCAGAGGGGATGTTAAGTGAGCCTAAACGAAGCTCAGATCCAAAAGTCTGACGATTTGGACGCGTCGCAAGCTCGTGACGGCTTTTTGAAAATGCAAAAAAAATCGCCGTCTGGAAATACTCGAGCGCGTCAGATTTTCATACAGACGGTTCAGCTTCGTGCCGTGGTTATGCTGATCCATAATCTGATGAATATTCGGAGGGATTTGCTTAATCTGACGGTTTAAAGAAAATTTTCTCCGTTTTTTCTTCAAATAATTGAATGTGATAAATAAAATTCATAAAGAATAGCATGAAAAATAAGCTGAAAATCTAATAAGGGTTAAATTAGGCCAAAATACACTCATTGTAAAAAAATATGTTTCATCCGGAGGTTCAAGATTATCGTATGTTGTACTCGATCTTCTGAGAGTAGGTTTACTCCGACGATCGTCCAAAACCGTCTTGCATTTCCTTATTGTTTCCGATGTAAATTTTACAATATTTTGTCCACAAAACACACACTTTATAATATTGTCACTCATCTTCGTTATAGTAAATATCTAACTAACAAAAATTCAAATAAAACAAACAAACCAGACCACATATAATACCACGAGGTTCACGAGTGCTGTGATCAGCTGTGAAAGCGTAATGGTAGACAGAAAGTGATGTGGGGACGGTGCGAGAGAGTGAAAGATAGAGAAAGAGGGAAATAGAGATAGGCGCGTAGTATGAAATACATGCTTCGCTGCAGCTGCACGCGCAACACTTTATTAACGGTTTTTGTTACTTCGGCTTATCCAAATCGGCAGATTATATATTTTCCACGATCCTTTAAATTAAAAAAAAATCAACCGCGCCCGAGAATGTCCAGACATCTTTTTTTTTTGCAAACCTAACCTAACCTAACCCTCCCACTCTCTTACGTTAGATTATTGAAATACACACTTTTCAGCATGTAATTAAACCACCATACCTTAATCTGACCCGCTCGAGTATTTCCGTCTATCGATTTTTTTACTACGCTGGTCTGGCTGGTCTACGCGCGCGGCACTACATGGAGAACTCAGATTTGGTAGAGGTACTCAACTAGATGTAAGGTATCTTCCCATATATTAATCTACCGCGCTCGAGTAAATCTCCTCTTGGGCTCCCCTATTATTAAGAAATTTTTTACTCTCAAATTATTATAAGTTGTCATTTTCCGCACAGACGACACGGCGACGGGCGGGAGTCGTGGGCCGCGCGCGCTGCTAAGCACATCTACACCCCGCGCGACCCGCGACTGCGTCTGCCCCTGCCCTTGCCCCTGCCCCTGCCCTCCGCGCGACTGCAGCTGCGCGCCCCGCGACTGCAGCTGCGCTCACGACTGCGGACACCGCGACGGCACCTACCGCGGCACGCTGCTGCACCACGACGGCACCGAGCTCAGTCAGTATACTGCCATCATTATCAGCCTATTCATGTCCCCCCAATTAAAAGGCAATGAGGTAGACCGAGAGAAAAGTGGGTTAATGAAGTGATAAGAAAGGCTGGTGATAGGGATGTCGAAAGTTGAAAAAAACATCGATACATCGATCTTTTAAAAAATATCAATATCGGCTTCGATATATTGCGCAAAAAATATCGATATGTCGGACCAATTTTCCCAAATATATCGTACAGTAGCTCACGAAATATGACACGCGGAATAATAATGGAACGAAAATTATCTCCCTAAAAATAGACCCTATTTTCGAATGATGAAAATCATTAATTTGAGATCCAGTTACGATTTTTCCAGATACGAATTTAGTTAGATCGTGATATGCCGCTAACAATTAAAACAATATCGTTTTTGATACGAATTTCGATATTGGTTATTTTGTATCGATGTATCGATATATCGAATCAAAATATATCGGCAAAAAATATCGATATATCGATACATCGATATATTTTCAACAAGCCTAGCTGGTGAAAATTGGACTACAAAAGCAAAGGACAGACAGACGTGGAGCAAAATGGAGGAGGCCTTTACTCGTTGAGGGGTCCATAATGACATGCATTAATAATTACTTTGACATTCAATTATCATTTGGAATTTGAATTTTATTATTATTATTATTACTTGACAATTGTATGAAATGAAAATTTTAAAATGCTAATTGTAATCTAATTTATGGTATTCATTGTTGTAGTATTTTAATATTTCATGCATGTACTTATGAATAAATCTATAATATTTGTTACTTGTACATTATGGAAATAAAGAGGCTATATTATTATTATTATTAATGTCCCCCCTGCTGGGGCACAGGCCGGAACCTATGGACGCGGCACGCGGAATAGGGAGATTGGGACATAAGCCATGAGCGGGTTGGTGAGGGTGCAGATGGAGCCGGGACCGACTGCTCGGAGGAGCTCAAGATAGTAAATTTTTGGTCACCCATCCAATGACCGACCACTGTTTAACTTCTGACTGAAAGTTGCTTAACTTCAACGATCGCAGCCGAACACACTAACTGCTTGTACCATCGAGTTCCTCAGTATACTGTACCACTGCCATATTACGCGATGCTGACTACGTGTATGCCCGCGATATTATTTAATTTTTAGAAAAAAGGCATAGCTAAAAGTATAAAAGTTTTGAGTGCATTTAACTACAATCGCACCTGATGCTGGGCAACGATGTGGTCCAAGCTCAAGCACGCAGAATCAAATAATGCCTATTTACTCATGCCTGCATTCGTCGAGATTCCTACATTATATGTATCGGGAAATAATTTAAGTTATTTGCAAAGATATTTAGACTTAAATGATATTTTCGAATAACATCTTAGTTTCAACTGACGTATGAACATCAGAATCGATATCCTTTATAAATAATCGATCGATTTCCTATTGATTTGTACGTATTTTTATAGAATGTGTTGGTCGGTACAGATGTGATATACACGGTGTCGACGATGGTACTGAGCACGGGGTCCCGCGTCCGCTACGTGTGGCTGGGAGTGCAGTTGGAAGACAACGCGAGACACACCACGCTGGCCTCCAGCCAGGCCTCCACTGCCGACGACTCGCTGGCCCTGCCCCTGCCCCTGCCCCTGGTATGTGATATACACGATGTGACGATGGTACTGAGCACGGGGTCCCGCGTCCGCTACGTGTGGCTGGGAGTGCAGTTGGAAGACAACGCGAGACACACCACGCTGGCCTCCAGCCAGGCCTCCACTGCCGACGACTCGCTGGCCCTGCCCCTGCCCCTGCCCCTGGTATGTGATATACACGATGTGACGATGGTACTGAGCACGGGGTCCCGCGTCCGCTACGTGTGGCTGGGAGTGCAGTTGGAAGACAACGCGAGACACACCACGCTGGCCTCCAGCCAGGCCTCCACTGCCGACGACTCGCTGGCCCTGCCCCTGCCCCTGCCCCTGGTATGTGATATACACGATGTGACGATGGTACTGAGCACGGGGTCCCGCGTCCGCTACGTGTGGCTGGGAGTGCAGTTGGAAGACAACGCGAGACACACCACGCTGGCCTCCAGCCAGGCCTCCACTGCCGACGACTCGCTGGCCCTGCCCCTGCCCCTGCCCCTGGTATGTGATATACACGATGTGACGATGGTACTGAGCACGGGGTCCCGCGTCCGCTACGTGTGGCTGGGAGTGCAGTTGGAAGACAACGCGAGACACACCACGCTGGCCTCCAGCCAGGCCTCCACTGCCGACGACTCGCTGGCCCTGCCCCTGCCCCTGCCCCTGGTATGTGATATACACGATGTGACGATGGTACTGAGCACGGGGTCCCGCGTCCGCTACGTGTGGCTGGGAGTGCAGTTGGAAGACAACGCGAGACACACCACGCTGGCCTCCAGCCAGGCCTCCACTGCCGACGACTCGCTGGCCCTGCCCCTGCCCCTGCCCCTGGTATGTGATATACACGATGTGACGATGGTACTGAGCACGGGGTCCCGCGTCCGCTACGTGTGGCTGGGAGTGCAGTTGGAAGACAACGCGAGACACACCACGCTGGCCTCCAGCCAGGCCTCCACTGCCGACGACTCGCTGGCCCTGCCCCTGCCCCTGCCCCTGGTATGTGATATACACGATGTGACGATGGTACTGAGCACGGGGTCCCGCGTCCGCTACGTGTGGCTGGGAGTGCAGTTGGAAGACAACGCGAGACACACCACGCTGGCCTCCAGCCAGGCCTCCACTGCCGACGACTCGCTGGCCCTGCCCCTGCCCCTGCCCCTGGTATGTGATATACACGATGTGACGATGGTACTGAGCACGGGGTCCCGCGTCCGCTACGTGTGGCTAGGAGTGCAGTTGGAAGACAACGCGAGACACACCACGCTGGCCTCCAGCCAGGCCTCCACTGCCGACGACTCGCTGGCCCTGCCCCTGCCCCTGCCCCTGGTATGTGATATACACGATGTGACGATGGTACTGAGCACGGGGTCCCGCGTCCGCTACGTGTGGCTGGGAGTGCAGTTGGAAGACAACGCGAGACACACCACGCTGGCCTCCAGCCAGGCCTCCACTGCCGACGACTCGCTGGCCCTGCCCCTGCCCCTGCCCCTGGTATGTGATATACACGATGTGACGATGGTACTGAGCACGGGGTCCCGCGTCCGCTACGTGTGGCTGGGAGTGCAGTTGGAAGACAACGCGAGACACACCACGCTGGCCTCCAGCCAGGCCTCCACTGCCGACGACTCGCTGGCCCTGCCCCTGCCCCTGCCCCTGGTATGTGATATACACGATGTGACGATGGTACTGAGCACGGGGTCCCGCGTCCGCTACGTGTGGCTGGGAGTGCAGTTGGAAGACAACGCGAGACACACCACGCTGGCCTCCAGCCAGGCCTCCACTGCCGACGACTCGCTGGCCCTGCCCCTGCCCCTGCCCCTGGTATGTGATATACACGATGTGACGATGGTACTGAGCACGGGGTCCCGCGTCCGCTACGTGTGGCTGGGAGTGCAGTTGGAAGACAACGCGAGACACACCACGCTGGCCTCCAGCCAGGCCTCCACTGCCGACGACTCGCTGGCCCTGCCCCTGCCCCTGCCCCTGGTATGTGATATACACGATGTGACGATGGTACTGAGCACGGGGTCCCGCGTCCGCTACGTGTGGCTGGGAGTGCAGTTGGAAGACAACGCGAGACACACCACGCTGGCCTCCAGCCAGGCCTCCACTGCCGACGACTCGCTGGCCCTGCCCCTGCCCCTGCCCCTGGTATGTGATATACACGATGTGACGATGGTACTGAGCACGGGGTCCCGCGTCCGCTACGTGTGGCTGGGAGTGCAGTTGGAAGACAACGCGAGACACACCACGCTGGCCTCCAGCCAGGCCTCCACTGCCGACGACTCGCTGGCCCTGCCCCTGCCCCTGCCCCTGGTATGTGATATACACGATGTGACGATGGTACTGAGCACGGGGTCCCGCGTCCGCTACGTGTGGCTGGGAGTGCAGTTGGAAGACAACGCGAGACACACCACGCTGGCCTCCAGCCAGGCCTCCACTGCCGACGACTCGCTGGCCCTGCCCCTGCCCCTGCCCCTGGTATGTGATATACACGATGTGACGATGGTACTGAGCACGGGGTCCCGCGTCCGCTACGTGTGGCTGGGAGTGCAGTTGGAAGACAACGCGAGACACACCACGCTGGCCTCCAGCCAGGCCTCCACTGCCGACGACTCGCTGGCCCTAGTACACTCATTTCATTGCTTTTTTTAAGTTCTGACGACAAATGCTCGAGTCAGTACTATAATGGCAACGATATTAAAACCCCTAGATACACCACGTGCGTTCAAAATGTGTCCCAATCGAAAAGTGCTTGAACACCACTCAAGCACTTCTTCGTTCACAGCCACGCGCGGACCGTTGAAAAGTCAAGATGCCGTAGAGATCCGTGAAAATAATACTTATAGTACGTAGTGTTTGTTAACTAAACGCATTTAAAACAAATTTTGTTCCAATACTTACTATAAACTGATTTAAAAGGAAATGATTGTAATATTCAAATGCATGCTCGGTTGTATAGCCGTCTCTTTTCCTCGCGCTCTGCACATTGCCAACAGCGCATTCAGAATCACGCGTAGAATCAAAGAAATAAAGTCTATATTCTTCCGCCTATAGCAAGTTTTACTAGCTTGCATTTCGAACTGTCATAACTCTTTCTCGCATGCGTTTAATTAAAGAACTTATTTACTACGCATTAAAGGTGACTTTGAATGTTTAAATAATGCCTAATATTGTTTTTGACTATGCGATCATCTTACGGAACTACGTGGATCGTCCAATATATCTTTTGGACAGGTTTCGGTCACGATTTTGATCGTGTTGTTGTAACTAGGGTAATTAATATCGTTGTGTAACGGATGCTGTTTCCTGTATAGTGGCTACCACTATACAGGCAACAGCATTATGGTTTATATTATCAATGTATGGCAGGGCAACAACAAATCTGGTAGCAGCCGACCGCAGTCCATATCGCTGGCGAGCCAATGTGGTGACGAACAGACGGCAGGCGATTATAGCAAGCATTACGTCACTCTCAAGCAGATCGGTGAGTACTGTCCATGTGTGCTCTACTTGTGGTGCTAGATTTACGATACGCTGTTGACACGGTAATATTATCTATACAGTATTGTGACTCCGCCCTGTCCTTGAAAATAAATGCCTACACCGAGCGCTGCGTTGGCACGCGGTAGGGCCGCCAGACTACAGTATTTTATGTAGTTTTGTTTTTAACGCGAGTGTAGGTAGATTACTCGTTTGTCTCTTTTTTCATCCTAACCACTTATTTATATACTATTCCAGATATTTTGCCCGATGGAAAAACCGAAATACCTAAATATTAGAAACAAATAACGTACTAGTAGATAGGTATATAAAAAAATGGGTGCGTGTACTTATGTAGGCGCGTGAGAAGTTATCCTTCTTTGGCATCGTTTAAAATTAGTTTTTAATTGCATGCAAATAATTAATTACAATAAATTAATAAAAAGTCTGGAAAAGGACACAGTCAATAAAGTTCAGTTTTAATTTGAAAAAATAAATAAATAATCAAAATATTCAATTAAAATCGCTACTGAATATAATTTATTAGAACATATGTGATTTGCACTTGTATGAAACTCAAACACGTATTCCGAATATACAAACTAGAAACATGTGTATAAATATTATAAATATGAATACCTATAACTGTTACTTTACAAAAAATAAAGATGTGGTTTTTGGTTCTTTACTACACCAATGGTCAAGAGATGGCGCTGTAGCCTCCTGAATCGCGCTTTGGTTCCGTTGTTCCAGATTAATAAATACTTTTGATATTATAAATATGAATACCTATACCTAACTGTTACTTTATTACTAAAAATAAAGATGTGGTTTTTGGTTCTACTACACCAATGGTCAAGAGATGGCGCTGTAGTCTCCTGAATCGCGCTTTGGTTCCGTTGTTCCAGATTAATAAATACTTTTGATAGGCCTTCACAATGCAGTCGTTAGCACCCACTAAATAGAGATTCTATTTCTATTTTGTTGGTAGATTTTCTTAATGTACGGTAAACACAAAAGTAACAGCATGAAGTTGGTCGCTAAAGCGACCAACTTCATGCTGTTAATATTTTTACCCGGCTGCGCAATGCAAGAGCGCGAAGCGCGACGCGCAGACAGGGTTATGTGTTTAACAGTCTATATATGTATGTTTGTTCCTTTGTGGCACACTAGAGACCAAACGCCTGGACCGATTTTGATGATTCATACATCAATCGATTCGTCTCAATCATGGGAGTGCTACTACAGATATGATAGTAATCAAAATTCAATATGGGCAAATTTAGGCGCCATATTGTGACGAAGTAAAAAAAATAAGTTGATAAAATATATCGAGTGGGGTATCACTGTCTAGATAATCAAAAATCATATTTAGGTTCTTAACACCATTTTTCATTTAATATGATTGTTTAGGATCTATAACGCTTTAAAGTTGTATGTTAACCACTTACGCTTTTAATTTCAATCTTACGTTTGTATGGATCTTTGTTACTCTTTCACCTAAAAAATACTGAATGGATTTTAATGAAACTTAACAGTAATATAGCTCATATATGATAATTACATATATATAATAATTTATGTAGTTATTGAGTGAATTGGCCAATATAAAACAATAAGTGTCACATAAGACGGAAAAAAATCTCCCATCTGCGAGCCATTTTGGCCTGCACTGCAAAAACAATAAAAGTTACATGAATGTAATGTAGAGTGAAAATGTATCTCTTAAATAGTTCTAAAAAAAAGTCCGTGAGACCATATATCTATTTGTAATGTGTAAGTCATTAAAGCTAAAATAGTGAATCAAAACTAAAATATTATTTGATATCTATTTCCAAAATGCACATTTTGTATTAACAAATCACTTTTTATCAAAACAAATACTTCAATCGCTTTTGATATTTAAAGACGATAAACTTTGCTTTTTACACTATGTCATTTCGACAAATATTTAAAAAGTTACAACGATGACAAAGTGATAGCGCGGTGTACTATGTAAAAGAAAAAAAAATGGGGTATTCGCAGTATCTGATCCTATACGAAGTACTAACATTAAAACTGTGATACAGTTCCTTCTTATTAAATGATGAAAAATATATTATCATAATGGGTATTTATGATTATTGAATTTTAATGAAAAACTCAGAATTTTACTTTTTCATTTTTTTAACGATATTACTTAATGTTACAAAAAAGGTTTACTTAATATAATGACAGATTAATGAGCTCGCGATAATATTGGTTTTGTAATAATTCTGCAAAATTCAAAGTAAATAATGTAGATTTTTATAGGTAAATCACCCCCTTCATCACCCTACGCCTATAATTATTGCGATGATGTGCTAAGAACCAAGTTCCCATCTACTTCTATATGGAAATTCATTATATTCGATTTAGCTATTAGGGCACGGAAGCGCAACAAACAAACTCACTTTCACATCTATAATATTATATTATACTTACTAGTGATCCACCCGGGCATTGTACGGGCGAAATTTATTTATCGGGGAAAAAATAGCCTATGTCACTCGGACAAAATTTATTTAAATAAAGAATAATGTAATAATAAATAATGTAGCTACCTTATGATGAATTAATATTTGAAACCGGTTTAGTAGTTTGACAGATTATTTGTTACAAACATACAAATCTTGCCTCTTTATAATATTAGTATAGATAGTTAGGATAAGATAAGTATTTAATTGATGAAAAAGATTTAAAAATAAAGTAAGTAATCGGTTTATTTGATTATATTTGTAAAAGTTACTTAGCATTTGTGCTTAATAGTGATACGTTATTCGGTATTTTTTTAAACAAAAAAAAAATTGGAAAATAATTGCCATGATTGCCCTACTGGGAGTACTCTTCATTCGAGCTTTGCACTACCAATAAAAAAGGGTCGATCACAAAGTCTTTGACCTGTTATATGTGAACGCTTTAAAAGAAAACTACAAACAGAACTATAAATTGATAATAAATGAGATTGCTATGGTGCTCTACCTATTTTTATGAAAATTTTAATATGCGCCTTTAGTTTAATCAAATATTATAAACTTTGCTTTGGTGATTGCATAATTATTTAATTTAGTGATCTAAGGCAGTTGCCACCATTTTCCAAAACAACAAACGGGAATTACTGCTTTCTTCAACCTGCGACATAAACGTCATTGATTGGTATTGTATATAGGGTGATTAAAAACATTTGAAGTTAACTTCTGGCATCTACATATTGGGTTTCTGTGAATTATGTAGGTATATCAAATTATGAGACTAGGGACTGACACTGCATTTGTGTATATCACAATCTTAGACGTCCGGCATTGACATGACAATGCAGCCACTGCCAATTTTAAATAGTCGACGAATAAAAGTAAATGAATTTTATATTTACTACTAAACTATTAAAAAAAACATAAACAAAAGATGACTTTTTGAGTAAGTTCTAGTTGTATGTAACGACTTGATTTAACTTCACACATTTTTGCGAAAATTGAGGCCCATCTGTAGCCTTGACCCCGCTGGTAAAGTCTCTATATGTCTTAATAAATCAATCTTTTAGACCGACGCAAGGAACTTAATAATTCCCGCGATATTAATTCCCTTACTGAAGTAATAAGACTACGGTATATACCGTCTTAAAATACTAACTAACTAAAAAGTGTGAAATAAAAAAGGTAAATTTAAAAAATCAAAAAACCCGACTGCTTAATTATACTTCAAATAAAAACTGAAAAGAAAAAAACAAGTTCAGTAGTCTATAATTCTGTTAATAAGGAACAAAGCTACTTTAACAGTCGGGACCCACTGTTGAAAAATATTATGTATTCTTAAATATCTAATGGGTCCCGACTGTTAAAGTAGCTTTGTTCCTTATTAACAGAATTATAGACTACTGAACTTGTTTTTTTCTTTTCAGTTTTTATTTGAAGTATAATTAAGCAGTCGGGTTTTTTGATTTTTTAAATTTACCTTTTTTGTGTTACAGTGATGCGCGCGCATCTTAAAATTTCACTCTCATCATTTTTTCATAACGCGCCTAAAGAAGTATAACTTCAAAAATATTCTATAAATGTAAGACACCTTTCCAATATTTCAGGTAGTTTAAAAAATGATATCTCTGGGTGTGTTATTAAAGAGTTCAACCAACCAAAAACAGCAATTGTGCTGTTGTACGATATTGATCGTCGTTTGTTCTTTTCCATACTAAATTATGTAGGTATCTACTTAATTAAATCAAATATTTACAATACAAAACGCACGTTTAAGCACGGCTAACCGCATAAAAAACAATTCAGACTGTTCGGTCGTCGTTGCGGCCGGCGCATTCGCGACTGGGTGCCCGCCGAGAGCCCATCGAACTCGAGTGGCGTAGGTATGACTCGCTTTCCGACCGTTTGTATGAAGATAGAATACTGTATGATATTATTACCGTGCTGTTGACTGAATTAATGGTGTAGGATATTTTATAGAAAATAATATTATATAATATTACATTCTTCTAGTTAACTTTTCTTTAGATTTAAACATCTAGCAGTTAAATGCTTAAAAATAAATAAAACATAACTATAATTTCTATTTCTTCTTTCAAATGTTTAATACTTGAAAAAGTATTCATTTGACATTGTGGGTTACCTACAATACGAAGAGATGGCGCTGCCTTGCAGCTTAAGGCTAGGAAAATTTCGATGCGGCGAATAGAGCCGTGGTAGCATAATGGTCAGTGCATTCGCCCGGATTGCGAAGGGTGCGGGTTCGAGACCTGTCCGCTGTCTGGTCCGCGTGGATTTTTTTTTAGTAAACTTTTCTTTAGATTTAAACTATGCGGCCTGCTTAATCTGTTTTGTCGGCACGCAGGTAAAGGCGCGTACGGTTGCGTGAAGATGGCGTATCGTCGGTCAGACCGTCTGCTGGCCGTGGCCAAGTTCATCCTCAAGGAGAAGGTGGGGCCCGCCTTCTGGGTGGACGGACCCTCGGGCCGCAGACTGCCGCTCGAGCTCAGCCTGCTGCTCACGCTGCAGCACCCGCACATCGTGAGTGTGCTCCATACGAGCCTGCTGGCCCCTGTCTGTCGATGCTGAGGCAGCAGGTGGGCCCCTTCTGGGTGGACGGACCCTCGGGCCGCAGACTGCCGCTCGAGCTCAGCCTGCTGCTCACGCTGCAGCACCCGCACATCGTGAGTGTGCTCCATACGAGCCTGCTGGCCCCTGTCTGTCGATGCTGAGGCAGCAGGTGGGCCCCTTCTGGGTGGACGGACCTGAGGGCCGCAGACTGCCGCTCGAGCTCAGCCTGCTGCTCACGCTGCAGCACCCGCACATCGTGAGTGTGCTCCATACGAGCCTGCTGGCCCCTGTCTGTCGATGCTGAGGCAGCAGGTGGGCCCCTTCTGGGTGGACGGACCTGAGGGCCGCAGACTGCCGCTCGAGCTCAGCCTGCTGCTCACGCTGCAGCACCCGCACATCGTGAGTGTGCTCCATACGAGCCTGCTGGCCCCTGTCTGTCGATGCTGAGGCAGCAGGTGGGCCCCTTCTGGGTGGACGGACCTGAGGGCCGCAGACTGCCGCTCGAGCTCAGCCTGCTGCTCACGCTGCAGCACCCGCACATCGTGAGTGTGCTCCATACGAGCCTGCTGGCCCCTGTCTGTCGATGCTGAGGCAGCAGGTGGGCCCCTTCTGGGTGGACGGACCTGAGGGCCGCAGACTGCCGCTCGAGCTCAGCCTGCTGCTCACGCTGCAGCACCCGCACATCGTGAGTGTGCTCCATACGAGCCTGCTGGCCCCTGTCTGTCGATGCTGAGGCAGCAGGTGGGCCCCTTCTGGGTGGACGGACCTGAGGGCCGCAGACTGCCGCTCGAGCTCAGCCTGCTGCTCACGCTGCAGCACCCGCACATCGTGAGTGTGCTCCATACGAGCCTGCTGGCCCCTGTCTGTCGATGCTGAGGCAGCAGGTGGGCCCCTTCTGGGTGGACGGACCTGAGGGCCGCAAAGCTCAGCCTGCTGCTCACCGGCCTCTGTGGAAGCTATCCTACTAATATTATTAATATCAATGTTTTTTACTCTAACACGCGAAAACTACTGAACGAATTTGGATAAAATTTAGTATGCACATAATTTAGACATTGGAAACTTCTTATCCCGGAAAAAGTATTGGATCGTGTGGGGTGAACACAAGCCACAAAACTATAAAGTTAAGACATACAGTAAGTTTTTGTTAGTACCACTTTATTTCGCGTAGGATAGCTGATAACGCTATTTTGTCTTATTACAGTAAAAAAAACATACGCAATTTAAAGAAAATATAACTAGAAAAAATTCCACGCGGACCAGGCAGCAGACGGGACTCGAACCCGCACCCTTCGCAATCCGGGCGAATGCACTGACCAATTATGCTACCGCGGCCCTCACGGACCGCGTCGAAATTCTTTCTAGCTATTCTTAAGCTGCAAGGCAGCGCCATCTCTTCGCATTATTAGTGCATTCGCCCGGATTGCGAAGGGTGCGGGTTCGAGTCCCGTCTGCTGCCTGGTCCGCGTGGAATTTTTTCTAGTTATATTTTCTTTAGATTTAAACATCAAGCAGTTACATGCTTTAAAAATAATAAAAATTATAACTATAATTGCTATTTCTTCTTTCAAATGTTTAATACTTGTAAAAGTATTCATTTGACATTGTGGGTTACCTACAATGCGAAGAGATGGCGCTGCCTTGCAGCTTAAGGCTAGAAAAATTTAGACGCAGCCAATAGGGCCGTGGTAGCATAATGGTCAGTGCATTCGCCCGGATTTGGAAGGGTGCGGGTTCGCGTCCCGTCCGTTGCCCGGTCCGCGTGGATTTTTTTCCAGTAAACTTTTCTTTATATTTAAACATCTAGCAGTTAAATGCTTAAAAATAAATAAAAACAGGCGTAAAGTTATGAAGCTACGCCTGTGGTCGGTGGCTTTGAGTATTTGAATAAAAGTCCCCTACTCGTGGTTACAGGTGAGCGTGCTAGACGCGTTCGAGAACGACAAGTACTTCCAAATGGTGATGCAGAAGCACGGCGCCGGCATGGACCTGTTCGAGTTCATCGAGCGACGCCCGCGACTCGACGAGCCGCTCATCAGCCACATCTTCAGGCAGGTCAGCTGATGTAACACTATATACAGGCAGCACTTCCAGGTGGTGATGCAGAAGCCCCCGCTCATTAGACACGTCTTCATAACGTTATCGTTCAAGTTGTCCCTATTTCTGGGCTGAAGTGTAAAGTTTGTGCTTTTGATTATTATTATATATTTTACTTTTGAGCCGCGAATGCCCTATCTTCCCTTTTTATCTTAATCTATGGCTATACCTGCATTAAAACAGACGGAAGTGATAATCACCGACCTATTCAGTTAACCACAACTGCTTTATTATAACGCCACTAAGATACCTGTTCATGCAATTTTCTCTTAGTTACACACTGTAAATGACAAAATTGTTAGCGAATAGGTCGGTAGGTGGAGTAGAGGTCATTTATAGCACCTCAATTAAAAAATATACGTGTCACATATTTTTCAGTCTGTATTTACTTACAGCTGCATAAGGAATACTCGATATATTAAAGTTGCTGGCGCTTACAAACTTTTATTCCCTATTTCATGCCCCATGAAGCTCTATAGTATATTATCTATATTTTCACTCAATATCTTCTTGCACTGACTTATGAAGAAACTGAGATGTTACTACACATGACTTGATTCCTTACTCGTCTTGCATGAAAATTATTAACAAAATATAACTAAATGTTGGTATTCTTGTTAAAAAAAGTTTTTTTTTTTGTTTGTTAATGGAACTTAAGTTGTCGTTTTTCATTTAAAATCATATTTTCTAAACAATGTGGTATCTTGTAAAGGACATCGACGAAATCGGCCCTAGCATGCCCAAAAGAATGTCCTTCACTATTATTTTTCTATTATTTTTTTAACTTATTAGCAATTAAACATAGTAAACGGACAATCTGTTTAAAAAAATAAAAAATAAAAGTTCTGTTACTAGATACTACAGTCTGTTCATCCAACTTGTCCTATTTGGTAAACAATCTTGACACTCCTTTTTATTGAAGATACAGCATTAAAAATGAACTGATAACTGAATTCAATAGGTTTCAGTCTATAATAACGATTTATTTTAATAGTTTATTGGCATCGTTAATATTTTATTATTAAATGTGTGATTTTGTTAAAAAGTTGTGCCAAGATTGTTTACCTTAATAAATGCAATATAGGCGACCATAGGTATTTATCAAGATAAAAATAGAACTAGGTACCTTAGTTAATAATACTTATTACTAGTATTTATATTATATTTATAAAAAGATTATTTCTGAAATTATGTAAAGATAGTTTATACTCCCATCCCATATAATATCTGTTTTATTTTAAGAAAATCATAATGATAACCAGGTACATACCTAATTACCGATAGTAAAATATAGAAACAGGTAAATGGAAAGTCTTTGAACATATCATTTGAAAAGAAATCTATTATTACAACAGGTAGGTATAGGTATCATAGGTGCCAACTGCCAACACTCATAAATCAATATGAATATAAGCATTTATTATTTTTATTATTAATTGCATTTTATGTTCATTTAATGCATATTATTTAATTGCTTACATAGAGGTAAACACTAAATCTATTCAGATTATATAAAGTGTACATCTTTTACGATTAAGTATAATAATTATAACCTCAAAATCTAATACATTCTGTAGTAGGCCACGGTTCCTCAAGTTGTCCGTATCTCAACAAATGCCTAATTACAGTTTATGAATGATTCCGAACACAACTAGCATTTTCTCATTGCTGGGCGTTCTAGGGCATTCAATGTATAGGGAACGAGCAATGTCCTTTACTATATTGTGTCACTGGAAAAGAGTGGGTACTTAAGTCACAGGGTTTACCTATTTTAAGTACCCGCAGATTGTTAGTTTTAAAATATCCTGTGCCTGTTTTTTGTAAACCATATTGTTTAAAAATTTTGGAATAAATTATTATTATATTATTATTATTATATATAGGCTATGGTGGCCGTTTAACATCAGGCGGGCCATAAGCTTGTTACTACCCTTTTAACATACAAAAAAAAACTATGTTTGTTCGGTTCCGCAGATCGGTCAGGCGGTGGAATACCTTCACTCGCTGAACATCCTGCACCGCGACATCAAGGACGAGAACGTGATCATAGACAACCGCTTCCACGTGAAGCTGATCGACTTCGGATCAGCCACCTTCATGAGCCGCGACGCTCTATTCTCCACCTTCTACGGCACCACCGAGTACTGCAGCCCTGAAGTGCTCGCCGGGAACAAGTCAGTGTCCAACATCTTTATCTAATCGACGACCTCCGTGGCCGAGTGGTTTATACGCCGGGTTTCAAGGTGTGGCCATCTTGAGAGGTCCCGGGTTCGAATCCCGATGGGGGCAGATGTTTGTGTGATGAATACGAGCATTTGTACTCCAGTCATGGATGTTTAATATGTATTTCTATATAAATATACTTATATATGTATCAGTTTATGTATTCTATCCGTTACCCTAGTATCTCATAACACAAGCCTTACAGTGCTTACTTTGGGGCTAGGCTAATTGTTGTGAGTGTTGGAAATATTTATTATTTATTAATGGTGAAAACAGCATAAAAATCTATCCACGCAGGCCGGCTTTATGGCAGGACAACCAGAGTAGCTGTGGCGCAGGGGTCCCCACAACAGATATAACAATACTGACGAGTTCCGTGGTCGAGTGGTTTGTACGCCGAATTCCCAGGTGTCGCCCATTCGGGAGGTCCCCGGTTCGAACCCCGGTGGGGGCAGATGTTTGTGTGATGAATACGAGCACTTGTACTTCAGTCATGAATGTTTAATATGTATTTATATATATCATATATATGTATAGTATCATCATCATCAGCCTATTAATGTTCCCACTGCTGGGGCACAGGCCCCACCCACAGTTCCCACCTATGGATGGAATAGGGAGATTGGGCCATGACCCACTACGCGGGCCCAGTTATTTAATAAAACTTATTTACTAAGATTAAGTGAGACAAAACATCAGATTTTTTTAATAATATTAATTTACTAAGGTTGAGAAAGAACACATCCGATTTTTAATAGTATTTCTTTATTAAGACTGTCTGAAAAAAACATTAATCACAATCTAGCTCTTCAATTTCGCTCATCTCTGCACTACCGCCGGAGAAGTTATGAATAATTACGCAGGTCACATACGAACATGCATCCTATATGTAAACGAAAGTTTTAAATCAAGTTTTTGAACGCAATATAAAGTGACATTTGGTTGACGATTTAGGTTATCAACCATTCATAGCCAAAGCTTAATAAATGAAAAAAAAACAACTAATATTAATTAGCAACATATGTTAATGTTTGTTTAAAATGTTTGGTTTTTATGCTAGAATCAGCCGAGTGCTAAAAAAGTGTTCCGAGATTTTTTTGCAAACCGTACTTTTTGTCTTGAGATCATTGGCTTTCCTATTCTTATTTGAATCGCATTATATATCAATTAATGGTACTTACGGTCTATTTGTAAACATGCATTCTAAAATCGTTTTTATAAGACTGTTTGTTACCGGAATTAAAATAAATATATTTTTTTTTTTCTAATAAACTTTTCTTTAGATTCAAACATCTAGTAGTTAAATGCTTAAAAATAAATAAATATATAACTATAATTGTTATTTCTTCTTTCAAATGTTTAATACTTGAAAAAGTATTCATTTGACATTGTGGATTACCTACAATGCGAAGAGACGGCGCTGCCCTGCAGCTTAAGGCTAGGAAAATTTCGACGCGGCGAATAGGGCCGTGGTAGCATAATGGTCAGTGCATTAGCCCGGATAGCGAAGGGTGCGGGTTCGAGTCGCGTCCGCTGCCTGGTCCGCGTGGATTTTTTTCTAGTAAACTTTTCTTTAGATTCAAACATCCAGCAGTTAAATGCTTAAAAATAAATAAAAACATAAATAAAATAAGTTTTAATATTGTTGATGAACGTTGGACAGATACGCGGGCCCTGAGCTGGAGATGTGGTCGATGGGCATCACGCTGTACGTGCTCACGTTCTTCGTCAACCCGTTCTCCGACATCGAGGACACCATCCAGGGTCCGCTGCACTTCCCGCAACCAGTCTCCGAAGGTGACCAAACCATCAACTTTAAAGTTAAACTTGAAGTTAAGAGCCCTTTCACATATTTTGCAAAAAATCGTAATTTTTGAGCGCCTCGTTTTTACCTTTAGAAAAGATTGTGACTATTCCCAAAGTAGTTCCAGAAGTAAACAGTAGATTTATCATTCCTATTGTAAGTTAATGTAGAATATTTGCAAATACTATTTTGCTTTTTTTGTACTGATCGTTCTACCGCAGCTAGTTTACGGAAAAACGATAATATGCACAACTTCAAACGCCTAATTCTCTAAATAATGTTCAATAAATTAGAACAAATTAATTACTACGACATCAGAAATATGTTTCTGTTGTAACATAATGTATTAGAATTTTGATTTTGCATCTCATTAATTATCAAAAAAACATCTAACCTCCGTGAGTTTTCCCAAAAAACAATGCCGGTTTACTCGTATTTTGATATTGAATTAAATAGAATCACTATCAAAAACTTTCCTAAACTAATCCAGCATTATTGAACTACTTAAATATTTATATATTTTTATAATTAGTTCATTAATAATTATTTTATAAGACTCGAAACATCACCCGTAATATGCAATATTACTAGTGCAAATCTACCTACGCGCCGATCAGTACGGCAGCGGCGCAATTTTGTGAAGGGCTCTTAACGCTATAACTTTCTTTACTGTAATAATAGAGTAAGACAAATGCCGTAAATGAACTCGCGGTATCTTATCATATTCTATATTCAACGTCAAGTTGTCATGGGTGGCTGTCCGAATTTCAATATTAGTTGATCTTATGTCGCATCAATTAACTAAGCTATTCCTAAGTGAAGTGGATAACATCTTTTGCATTCAGTTTAAGGTTACAGTAAACCTATATTGTTGTGTACCAGTGTTTCTAATAAAGCAAAATTAATAAATTTTCTTAAATTTTTGATGAAGCGATATATTTTAATAGAATACATTTTATTAGAAAAACAAACTCATTTAACATTGTAGTAATTTACATATATTATTGTGAAGAAATTGCTTCGCTTTGCAGCCCACATACCATTTTATTAGATTTTCTTCGATTTTGGATGTGTAACATTTTTCCTCTCGCTTTCCTGCAATTTTTGGGAGTGATTTCGTGAAATGGGACGGAAGTGTGTAACAGAAAGTCGCGAAAGCGCACGCGATTTGATTTAAGAACATAATGTTCAAATGGCTTATTCCTTTTGCAGTAGGTTTTATTTCTTTTTTTGCTAATATAAGGTGAGGTTTCAAATGTTACACATCATACGCGACTACTGTATGGCTCGCTCGTTTTTTTAAATGCTTTTTAAATTTGATATTGATATTATTTAAACTCGATTATTGATGTTTCAATATGGATCGAAGTACAAACGTTAGAAATGGTCGTATGTGTCGTTGCAGATCTGGAGCAGCTGCTGCGCTGGATGCTGTGCAAGGAGCCGGCGCGGCGCTGCACCGTGCCCCAGCTGATGGGGCACCCGTGGGTACGGCAGCCCGTGCGCCTCGACCACTACGTGTTCCACCACGTCGTGGACTGCGGTAAGGAGCGCTGCACCGTGCCCCAGCTGATGGGGCACCCGTGGGTACGGCAGCCCGTGCGCCTCGACCACTACGTGTTCCACCACGTCGTGGACTGCGGTAAGGAGCGCTGCACCGTGCCCCAGCTGATGGGGCACCCGTGGGTACGGCAGCCCGTGCGCCTCGACCACTACGTGTTCCACCACGTCGTGGACTGCGGTAAAGGCTGTACTAATTCGTGGATGTAATGACTGCATCAAAATTATTGGAATACTAGCGGTCGCCCGAGACTTCGTCCGCGTTAGCTTTAATTTTTGAAGTGAAACTTCTTTATCGGCGTTGGAAAAAAATTTACCGTCACATTTTTTTTTTTAAAGAGCACTATTTACCTCATCCGAACAATTGGTTCTTCTGTCAACTTTAAAAAAAAAAGTATCGACAGCAAATATTCGTGTTTCACACAAGGTAAGGTAAGGTGTAGTTATACCCCTTTAGTGGGTGAGTTTTTGAAAAATCTTAGCGCACGCCTATATATATATTTCTGGAAAGTTGCATGTAGATCATTTTTCGAAAAAAATAAGGCCATAAAGAAGTTTCACTTCTTACGTGTGTACACTAGTACACGCACACATTTTTTTTTGAAAATCCCCCGGTTACCCAACACGGTTAGTTTCTGTTTGAAGTTAGAAATAAATATAGATTAATTTCTATCCCCAAACAGAAACTAACCTCAGAACATGACAGATGCTCAGATTGATCTTTCTCGGTGGTTAAAATACTCCGACTAAGAGGGTTAAGCGCAATTACCGAACGTTTCAGATTTACTCTAAATGTAATAAACGCATGATTCCGACTCGAAACATCAATCAGATGCAAATAATGAACGCAGCTAGTTTGGAGATTGTTGGTGACAATATGATTGGTACAGTGTGGCAGCAGCATCTGTAAAACATAATCAATAAGATTAATAATATAAAACTACAATTATGTTTTTATAATATTAGTAAAACTGTTAAGCCAAATATTGTTAATATTAGAAATAGATATTTTGTACTTACGTCGTTTTGTCTGTGTCATGTCGAGCTGTTCAATCTGTTCCTCTCCGTATGCGCGCCCAGATAGACACGAGATGTCATGCTATACTCTTTGGTAACGGCTATGGTCTACACATCGTTTTCAGCTAATTAATATATTATGTAAACATTTGTAAGAAAACTGAACGTAGAAGTAGCTTCAAGAGTTATTTATAGGTGCTGTGAATTGTGACGGAGTATTAAAGGCAATAAACTTATGATTGTAAGTAAAGCGTTTCCATTAGAATAGAATAATTATTTATTTGCGTTTGAACAGGGTAATCAAGTTCATAAATAGTTACACATAACTATACTGTAGGTTTCACCTATTGTATCAGAGGAGGTGTTAGCCCACAGGAGGAGACCGGATGAGCCAGTCATGGAGCAGTGGGCCGAGGAGCTGGGGGCGCAGCAGTTCGGGGTGAGGACCCTGGAGGCGCTGCGGCCAGTCTTGGGGCAATGGAAGGAAAGGAGGCATGGGTCGCTGACCTTCCGTCTGGTGCAGGTGCTGTCAGGGCATGGATGTTTTGGCAGCTACTTGCATCGCATACGGAGGGAAGCGACCCCGTCATGCCATCATTGTGGCGCTGTCGAGGACACGGCGCAGCACACCCTCGAAGAGTGCTCGTCGCGGTCTCGGCAGCGCCATGATATGGTCATGGCAGTGGGAAGGGATCTCTCGTTGCCCAGCGTCGTTAAAGCGATGCTGGACAGCGACAGATCCTGGAACGCGGTCGTCTCCTTCTGTGAGGAAGTCATCCTACAGAAGGAGACAGCGGAGAGGGCCCGCGAGGGGGACGCCCGGGCCGGTCCTCTCCGTCGCCGACGACCGGGGGGAAGACGGCGGCAGTACGACCGCCTCTTTCCACCCTAGTGGGACTGCGGGCGGCGGACAGGGTGGTCCGTCGCTCGCATTGCGCAGTCTCACCCGTCGAGGGAGGATGCCTAGGTGCTCCCGGGCATCCCCCTGACCATCAGGAGGAGGAGGAACCTCTGCCGGGTAACGTGGAGCGTCACCCGGATCCCACAAAACCCGTTCCGGCAGACGAGGGAGCACTGTTGGGTTTTTAGTGGGTAGCCCCCCCCCCCCCTCATCCCGAACAGCCGCCGAGCCAGCCTGGCTGGGCGGGTGGGCGGGATTTGGGGGGGAGGAGGAGTCCCACATAACCCCGCCACATACCAGCGGGGTATGCATAACGCACTTTCCCAACATAAAAAAAAAAAAAAAAGGTTTCACCTATTCAGCTATAGACCGTAGCATGCAAATTTACATAAGTTTTTTTCAAATTAATTAATACTATGTCACTTAATTTAATAAAAATTACTTAACAGGTCACAAAATAAATAGTCAAAAATATAAAAATTCGATTAAAATCAGGTCATATTAAAATGTGAATTAAAAATATAACTAAATCAGTATATGTCACTCAAAATCTCATCCACCAAAATTACTATTATTTATATATTAGCTATTATAATTCAAGAATTCCTGGACCGAGTAGAATTTACGTTCAATGAGCGTAATCTGTGTGTTATTTTAAATCTACTGAAAGGCAAATCTCTTATTATATGTGGAATATTATTAAAAATTTGAATGCACATGTAAAGAACCTCTTTACAGTCAGTTCTTTAATTTGTTATTTCTTAAGTAGTTTGTATAGCTCTCGGGCGACCATAATAATAAAACTGTCACTTGACAGATGGTGTCGCTTTGACAGAACGAGCCGTGATATTTTTATTTGATTATTTTAAAATATTATTGTAAAGGAAGGAATTGTTGTATTGTAAAAGACTTTAAATATCGTTTCTTTGTTTTCAGGTAAGTTAGTATGATTTATAGTAGATAGTAAAAAGTGTAGTGAATAATAAATCTTTTAACCTACATACATACTTAAATAAAATCTTTGTTTTCGAGCAACACATTAGTTTAATTACTTTTACAATTTCCATTAAAAGATATTGTCTTATAAAACGACATTTCTAGTTAAAAACAATAAAAATGGAAAAACTGCGATTTAAGTTTGTAGTAATGGGATCAGCGGATGGAAAAACAAATGTAATAAGCATAACCTCAATAGGGAAGATGCAATATTTTTATTTTTGTTTTCATTTTAAAGAATTCCATGTAGAATAAACCACAGATATATTAAAAAATTAAAACATTTTGATTTATCGGATAAAAATGCGGTTTTAAATTGACAATTTAAATTTTCGCGCGAAAACGAACCTATAGTTGCGATGACGTCACTCCTGTCTGTCACTGGTCGTAATTGTTCGTTGTTGGCTTTAAACTTTCATACTTTTGCATATTTTTTCGACTTTCGAAATATTTTTTTGAAAAATTTTAATTGGACTATCCATCAACATCATGTGATCATAACAATACCACTAATATTCCGAAAAAAAGCCGTGTTGACTCATGTTTTGTGCCAATCTACTTCAACAAAGTTTCCAAATAAATCTTCTGACCCAAAACTGAAAAAAAAGTGGTTTCAAGCTGCGAAGAGAAATGACAATTATTCTCCAAAGACCATTATTCGATGCTGAGAAGATCACTTTGACGTAAGTCGGCGAATATACTTGTTATATGCTTAATTAATCTCCTTGTACGTAAAAACGCATTAGTAACTTACATAATACTTACAAAACCTGTCTATAACATATTTTTAATTTTACAGTTGGAGAATGACGTCGAAAATTAGATAAAGTTTAAAATGTGTGGCACAATCTTCACATTGCCAGGACTGAACCAAGCTTTGCGTTTCATTTAAAATAACTGTAACACGATAACCTTCTTTACGTACTTTATGCTCCGAAGAACTCGACCTTTTACTGTACATAATTTTCCATCTCTTTTAATTTGGACATAGCCGATTGCATTATCGCCGTAAGATTTGTAGAAGCCGATGAATAAAATACGAAGTTTAACAACTACGATTTTTACATACCGTAGTAATTTAGTCCCTTTCATTTCTACACTTAAAAACTCTGCACTCTGGACAAAAAAAGTTATAACCATGTCAACGCTAACTCTTGGTAAATTCCTGGAGTCTGCTTTGATAAACACAACTTCCATTTTTATTAAATGTAAAAAAACGCAATAAATATTCCCATAAAATAATATTTACTTTAACAACCATAACCTCAAAGAAGTTTTCATAACAGGAGTGACGTCACTAAACGCTGATTGGTGTTTTAAAATACGTTCCGTTCCAAGTATTTTTAATTCGTAATAATTGTTAAAAAACAACATTATGTAAAATAAAAACGTTGCAGTGGCATTTCTTTTATATTTTTTTAACATTTTAATCATTTAATTTTCATAAATATTATATATGCATCTTCCCTATTGAGACACCAGACGGACGTATTTTTGTGGTTCCTGATGAGTTCAAGCCCACAAGTAAGCATACTGCAATAATTTCTTTAGATATATTCAAAAAAATTAATAATTCACATAAAAAGAGGCACCAAAGTCGTACCACTATGGATACCTCTAAGCCCAGATTTGAAGAAAATATATCTAGATGAATGTGAAAATTTGCAGTTTGGTGACCAGTATTTAGATGAAATTTCAGAAAGAGCAATGCCCTCACACAATTACTGTAATAGTGATGTGCCAGAAACAAAAAATATAGCACAAACGGCTGAGATATTTTTGATAGAATTTTTTTCAAATAAAATATCAGATGCTGAACAATGGCTAAGTGAATTTGAGAATGAATGTAAAAGATTTGATATTCAACGGATGTTGAGAAAATTGAAATTTTAAAACATCTTATAGAAAAACAATGCTTAGATTGGTATAGCAGTATGTTAATAAAAGTTTCGGTAAATTCCGAATGGTTAATATGGAAGAACAACTTTTGTGAAACATATGGAAATAAAGGTTGGTCCAAAGTCAAATATGCATTTACATTTAAATTTCAGGCTGGTTCGTTACTGGAATATGCCACAAAAAAGGAAAGATTGTTATTAGAAGTTAATAAATACATAGACTCCCAAACAATGATAAATCTTATTGTAATGGGGTTACCAGATTACGTTATGGACAAAATCGATAAAAATAGTGTAAAATCAACTGCAAACCTCTACAATGAAATCGGAAAACATGAATATGTAGTAAACAAAAAAAAACAGTATAAATAAAAGAAATGCTTATGAGACTAAAGCAAAATCTGATAAAACCAAAACGAAAATGCGAAAATTTAAACAAAGGTTTTCGGTTCCACCCTGAATAAAAGTGCTGGTTCAAACAGACAGAAGAATATGCCTATAAAGAAAAGAATAGTAAGACAGTAAACAATCCAGTGATTGATGTTGAAATCAATAATAATGAGAGAAAAAACGAATAACACCATTTAATTAAAGTCAAACTATTATTAAATTCACAATTAGAAATATTTGGAATATATGATTCAGGTTCAAACGTTTCCATAATAAATTCTATATTAATAAAAATAAAAGAAGAACATAAATATAATTTAAAATGTGACAATTTAATAATAATTAATGGTGTAAAAAATACGATTGGTTTGACAACTATCAAAATAAAAATTTATGATATTGAAGAAAGAGCTGATGTATACATAATTGATGGAGGAGAATTTAAATATGATTTTATAATTGGACTGGATATAATAAAACAATTCAGACTGATTCAAAATGAGAATTGCAAAATCACTCAAAAAAAGAAAAACTAAAAACAAAAGAAGAAAAAGAAAGTAAGACTGAGGATGGTAGTGAAAATAATACTTCTAAGGAAGAAAAAAATATGTGTTCAATAAATTTTAATGAATATATAACAGAAAACTTTAAAATAAGTATGAGTAATTTGAATACTCAGCAAAAGTCAGAAATATGCAATCTGATAGATACTTACAGATCAATTTTCGCAAATGATAAATACGAATTGATCTACTCATGGATAAATATTGTTGTAAAAGGCCTTATAGATGTTCAATCGAAGACAAAAAGGAAATAGAAGAACAAATTGCAAAATCACTTGACAGAAAGCTAATAGAAGAATCATATAGTCCTTTTGCGGCTCCTGTAACCTTGGCTTTCAAACGAGAAGACAACAAAAATTCAAGACTATGCATAGATTTTAGAGATTTAAATAAAATAGTAATACCTCAAGCTCAACCATTTCCATTGATCGAAGATCTAACGATTAAGACAAGAAACTCAAATTATTTTACAACACTAGATATAAATTCAGCGTTTTGGTCTATCCCGCTAAGAATTGAAGATAGGAAGAAATCTGCCTTTGTAACTGAGGAAGGACATTACCAGTGGACGTGTTTACCCTTCGGCTTAAAGACATCACCAGCTATTTTTCAAAGAATACTAAGTAACATTCTGAAAAAGCACAAGCTCAATAATTTTGCGGTCAATTACATTGATGACATTTTAGTATTTTCTAAGAGCTTTTCGGACCACATTAACCATCTAACACAATTATTAGAAGCTATTAAAAAGGAGGGATGCAGACTTAAATTCACAAAATGTACTTTTGCTTCGGATTCAGTCGAATATCTTGGTCATATAATACATAATAACACAGTTAGGCCAATAAGAGATAATTTAATTTCAATAAGAGATTTCCCAATACCGAAAACCCAAAAAAATGTGAGACAATTTCTAGGAAAAGTTAACTTCTATCATGAATATATACCAAAAAGTGCGGTTATTTTAGAACCCCTTCATAATTTACTTAAAAAAACCAAAAATTTGTGTGGTCTGTAGACTGTCAAAAATCTTTTGAACAAATAAAAAAAATATTTATTAACTCGCAGCCGATTTTAGAAATATTTGATCAGAATTTACCGATAAATATTCACACAGATGCGTCTCTAAAAGGTATTGGGGCAGTGCTAAAACAAACACAACTGAATGGAATAGAAGAATTAAAAGATATTGTGTTATACACATATAGTAACAGTTCTTTTTAAAACGTGTGCTTTTCGGGATTATATCAATGACTAACCTTTTACAATGTCTTGTATTTGTAGGAAATATCTCACGGGCAGTTTTAAAGTAATTTAGATTTAACTTTACGCACTTAGATATCTCCAGGATATAGAGGCATGGCATTGTACGAATAACTACCAAGACACTGTTCACAGTATATTGATTGATTTCCCAGACCGGCACGAGGCCAGCCCCGAGTTGTACTACAGCGGCAGTGCCGAGTCCCCGCGCTCCCCGCGCTCGCCCCGCTCGCCCCGCACGCCCTCCCCGGCCTCCCTCGCTGAACACAACACTAAAGGTAAAGGTTCAAAATATATTTTAATAAAAAAAAAATGCGTACGAATTTTAAATAATGTGGACAGAATGGAAAGCTACAGCACAAACATTTTGTTGAATTAAAAATCATAACAGTCAATCCTCCATTATTTCCTCAAAATCAGGACTGTTCTAGTACATCTATTAATTTGAGATGTAAAGTTAATTTAGTCTTAAAATCCATAGTTCAGGTCCAAGATCCTACGACGACCTAAATTTATAACCATAGAAAAAAACCTAAAAAAATGCACATATTTTTGAACAATATTTATTGAATAAAATCTTCCATAGTATGCAAGAGTTTTTTTATGAAAGGTAGCTTACTTGTAATCTTAAATTTCACTGATTGATTATAATTATATGCATTTTTTATACTGATCTTGTAGTGCCCTTACAGGGTTCATGTTTGCATCTGAAATTAAATCTGAAGAATACCACATGAAACAATAAATATATTAAATTTAATTGAATTAACATATTCATCATTTGAGTGGATTCATAAATGAATCCTGCATTCTTCACCAAGAGGAGAAGTGACCGATTACCAACGAGGGTGTAGTTTAAACACTTTCTTTCGAGGGATACATAGCGCTTTATACTGTACCTGCGCGGAAGTAAAAGACGAATTCTTTAATTGAAACATATTAAAGTTGTTACAGTTTGCATGGGACTTTTGCGTTAGAGCGTTATTGGTTTCCTGATTTCACGGGTAAAGGTATCGACTCAGCTTTAAACTGGGCCCTGGACTCAGGCGAAAATTGATCTCGTTAACGAGTGCTCTAAGAGTTGATAATGGTCTGTGTTCGAACAGAGCGAGGCCCGGCCGGAGGCGGGGGCGGGTCGGGTCGGGGCGCGGCCGGGTCGCGGCGGGCCCCCGACGCTTCCGACAACTACTCGTCCGTCGACGTGAGTACCACTACCTGTACACTGCCATGTGTTCCAACAGGGCGGGGCCCGGGCGGGGCCGGGGGCGGGGGCGGGTCGGGTCGGGGCGCGGCCGGGTCGCGGCGGGCCCCCGACGCTTCCGACAACTACTCGTCCGTCGACGTGAGTACCACTACCTGTACACTGCCATGTGTTCCAACAGAGCGGGGCCCGGGCGGGGGCGGGTCGGGTCGGGGCGCGGCCGGGTCGCGGCGGGCCCCCGACGCTTCCGACAACTACTCGTCCGTCGACGTGAGTACCACTACCTGTACACTGCCATGTGTTCCAACAGAGCGGGGCCCGGGCGGGGGCGGGTCGGGTCGGGGCGCGGCCGGGTCGCGGCGGGCCCCCGACCCGACCGACAACTACTCCTCCGTCGACGTGAGTACCACTACCTGTACACTGCCATGTGTTCCAACAGAGCGGGGCCCGGGCGGGGGCGGGTCGGGTCGGGGCGCGGCCGGGTCGCGGCGGGCCCCCGACCCGACCGACAACTACTCCTCCGTCGACGTGAGTACCACTACCTGTACACTGCCATGTGTTCCAACAGAGCGGGGCCCGGGCGGGGGCGGGTCGGGTCGGGGCGCGGCCGGGTCGCGGCGGGCCCCCGACCCGACCGACAACTACTCCTCCGTCGACGTGAGTACCACTACCTGTACACTGCCATGTGTTCCAACAGAGCGGGGCCCGGGCGGGGGCGGGTCGGGTCGGGGCGCGGCCGGGTCGCGGCGGGCCCCCGACCCGACCGACAACTACTCCTCCGTCGACGTGAGTACCACTACCTGTACACTGCCATGTGTTCCAACAGAGCGGGGCCCGGGCGGGGGCGGGTCGGGTCGGGGCGCGGCCGGGTCGCGGCGGGCCCCCGACCCGACCGACAACTACTCCTCCGTCGACGTGAGTACCACTACCTGTACACTGCCATGTGTTCCAACAGAGCGGGGCCCGGGCGGGGGCGGGTCGGGTCGGGGCGCGGCCGGGTCGCGGCGGGCCCCCGACCCGACCGACAACTACTCCTCCGTCGACGTGAGTACCACTACCTTGACATTGCTACAAACATCTTCGCATTATCCATGCGCGTGACAGTTCAGAGAGGGCGGCACATTACATAAATGACTACAGAACACAAAGAGACGGTGGGGCAGGCGCAACATTGTTTTGTGTGAGCAAATGCTCATAACGTAATAGCGTCGACTGTTAGTGTCGCGTCGTTTAATTGGCTATTATCTATTGGGTGGAAGTGTAGTGGAAGCAAGCCGGCGACATCGGTTGTCGTACAAACAGTATATCGTCACCCTTCGAACCTCTTTCTGTATTCTGTGTAAATTACCCTTATTGACATACAAAATATGGCGTTTACAAAGACTTTGGCGTTAGTTGCAAATTTCGCCTATAATGCCCCCACTGCTAGGACACAGGCCTTCCGTATCAATAAAATAGGGAGAGCGGGCCCAGTGTGAATCGGTGGCTGCTAACGACTGCAGATGCAGCCGAGGCCGATGGTTTTACGTGTCTTCCGAAGCACCAAAGAGCGAGAGATAGTATTTTTTTTGGTCACTTATCCAATGACCGACCACTACAGAAGTAGTTTAACTTCAACGATCGCAGCCGAAAGCGCTAACTACTTGCACCATCGACACCACCATGCATCCACCCTACACATAGAGAATGAGCGTGAGGGATCATCATCATCAGCCAATGGACGTCCACTGCTAACATAATATGGCCTCCTAAAGGGATTTCCATATGAAACGATTCTGCGCTCTTCGCATCCAATGGGTCCCCGGCTCCCTTGATGTCGTCAGTCCACCTCGTGAGGGGTCTACCGACACTACGCTTCCTGGAGCGAGGTCACCATTGAAGCACCTTTGGACCCTAAAGTTCATCGGTTCGCCGACCTATGTGCCTCGCCCATTGCCACTTCAGCTTGGCGATCTGTTTAGCCATGTCGGTTGTTCTAGCTCTGCGGATTTCCTCATTTCTGATTCGTGAGCGATACTCGCGTGGAATTGACAACTTTCTACATAGAAAGAATGTGATTTCTACAAAAGAGTAATAATACAGAAAAAACTAAATCATCATCAGTCTATTTATGTCCCCACTGCTGGGGCACAGGCCTGCCCTATGGATGGAATAGGGAGATTGGGCCATGACCCACCACGCGGGCCCAGTGCGGATTGGCGGGTGCTGACGACTGCAGATGCAACCGGGACCAACGGCTTAACGTGCCTTCCGAAGCACGGAGGAACTCGAGATAGAAGATTTTTGGTCACCCATCCAATGACCGACCACTGCGAAAGTTGCTTAACTTCAACTATCGCAGCCGAACGCGCTAACCACCTGCGCCATCCAGCTCCTCCGCGCCATCCAGCTCCTCTTGAAAAAAACTAAATGAAATAAAAGTATTACATGGATGGATACCATAGACATAGGAGACAGAACTTTTGTATAGACAATGTATTTTGTAGTTTTGATGTAATTAAATATTCAATTCTTTGTGAAAATTCCGCGTGAATATCATCTGTGTCGAGTTATTTAATTAAAGAATAAATACTAAAACAGTGAAAGAAATGAACTGTGAATCAGCTGTCGCTGTCTAGAAGTTTCAATTTTTTTTTTCTTAATGACTTCGCACGGTTTGTGCATTTAGCCAATGCCAAGTGTTAAAAGGTTTACAAATACTATAGCACTCGTGGTCAAAGTAATAAATCAAGTCAAAGTAAGTGGCAGTCAAGTCAATCCCCCTTTCCCTATGTTTCAGTAAAAGTGTGGGGATTTAAACCTCCCCGTGGACTTCTTGAGGGAACGTCGAAAGACACTTCCCGCTATTTTGTTTCACTTGCCAACACTTGTACATGTTTCCGAACACTTAGTGGTTAATAATCCACCATTATTAGACACTAACATTCGCCAAAACACAATTTTTAACAAGTAAAACAAAAACTGCTAAAGTGGCGCTTCCCGATCCCGCCAAAAAGTCCGAAGTTTCACTTGTCGTTCATTGCCGATGAATGATGACAGTTGCATGGTCGGTGCTAGTAAAAACAATCGGAGCCGGAAGCTTTCATCGCGAAGGCACATTCCGACAAACGTTAATTTAGACTATTAATTTTCGGTTTTTAATCGACGAAGCATCGATAACGCAAAAACAAACCGTCTAATTCCAGATTAAGTTTATTCCTCGTTTCTTAATGTGAGGGTGGAAGACAAAGTTTGGTCACTATCCCTTATTGTGTATCATCGTCATCAGCCTATTAATATCCCCACTGCTGGGGCATAGGTCTTCCCTATGGATGGAATAGGGAGATTGGGCCATTACCCACCACGCGGGCCCAGGGTGGATTGGCGGATGCTAACGACTGCAGATGCAGCCGGGACCAGCGGCTTAACGTACCTTCCGAAACACGGAGGAACTGAAGATAAAAGATTATTGGTCACCTATCCAATGACCGACCACTGCGAAAGTTTGTAACGTATCTCAGGAATCGTCCCATGGTTTCGACTATCATAGGTTCCATTTCACACATTTTATCATATAACATCATCGATATTCATCAGGCATAAACATATATTTTATTATGTATTTCTGGAAACACAATTTCAAAAAATCACACACTATTCATCATTTTGTAAATACGTATAATAGTTCCATCTGTACTGAAAATCACTATTCCAGAGTGCTGGACACTCACCGGCATTTCTCCATATTCTGTTATTTATTTAATTTTATTGTATTTCTCCGACTTTATATATTTTTAGGCATAAAATATTTTCTTTATTTTCTTGACATTTGTGACACTTTAATGTTTTTTATCCGTCGCCATGGCTACCCATGACGCGGATACTCTCCGCAACTGCGGCGCCATCTAACTTTGATATTGCGTATGCGCACAGTTACTGGAGGCGTCATCGAAGCCGGTGTCGGAGGCGGGTCTGACGGACATCAGCTCGGACGCGACGGGTCACGCGGCGTGCGACATCGCGTGCGACTGCGGCCGCGACCACCCCGCCGACCTGTCCTGCCTGCCCGACCCCGGCCTCGACCCCGACCCCGGCCTCGACCCCGACCCCGACCCCGACCTCTACGCGGCCGACAGTTGGGACGAGTGCGAGCAGGACAGCTTCTCCTAACCGACCAAAAATTAACAAAATCGTCAATGCAACTCGTTTTTACTTACTCGACTATGAATAGATTTAGATGCCGCCCCGTCTATACTCTTCCGAAACAAAAGGTATACAGACCACAAAAAAAATTTTCGATGGGTCGAATTTTGTACCTATATGAATTGGGACGAGTGCGAGCAGGACGGCTTATCCTCACCGACGAAAAAGTCATAAAATCGTCAATGCAACTCGTTTTCACTTACGCGGCTATGGATATTTTTTTAGATGCCGCCCCGTCTATTATACTCTTCTGAAACAAAAGGTATACAGACCACAAAAAAAGGTTTTTCGATGGGTCGAATTTTGGACCTATTTGAAATCGTAACAAAAAAAGTGCCAGTAGAAAAACCTAAAACTGCAGCTATTCCCAAACTTTGAATGCATTATAATACTTGTAAATGAAAAAGTTTGTTGAAATGTGAAATTTTGTGATTAGTCTGGTTCCAACGGCCATCTTTATTCTAAAAAAAGATTCAGAAACATAGATTTTTTTTTACCTTTTGTATCGGATGAAGTTGAATAGAGTATAGTGAATAGCATTTGTAGTTGATACTCGAGTCGATTAACGAAATAATGCAATTCTGTCAGTTCCTTATGGCGATGGAATTAAAGTTTATTTTCGGAACTCATTATGTACTAAATCGAAAGTGCACTTTATTCTGTCGCCATATGAAACTGACAGAACCTGTCGAGATTGCATTCTTTCGTTGGTCGCACTTTTTAGTATTCGATAAATATAATGTTCGTCTACCAACGGACCGACACTAACGGTCGTACTTAGAGAGTCAAATTAACTTTTAAGTTTAATTAAAATCATTGTTCTCACTTTTTTGCTTGAACTATAGCAACACGACTTTGAAATTAATTTGACGTCTCTGAGTACGGCCATCAAACTTCCTACAATTTATATGCAATTGAAACAAATGTCACGTGCTACGCTATGATAGTGGCACGTGAACGTGACACATGAAGGTTATACATTCTGAGAAATTTAGAACGGATAAGTAATTATAACAGATACTTGACAGATAGCACGTTGTGGCACTCAAATCACGTCAACTGTCTACTTGACGTGATTTGAGTGCTGAAGTAGCATTTTTGCAGGCCAAGATGAGGATGGTTGGTGTGGCAGTTTATAACTGCTGTACGAGCTATCTTCGCGTTTGGACTCTATCACCACTTAACATCAGGTGGAGTAGAGTCATTTACCTCATCATAAGAAAATGCAGATTGTCATAAGCGTGCAATCGTTTAGTAATCGTCGTGAATTTGCTATAATCGAGTAGTGAGAGGGAGAAAGGCGCGGTAACTTTGACATGAAACAAATAAATGTTTCCGACGATGCAAGGCAACGACAGGATCGTTGCCGTACAGTCCTCAAGCTGTTCCTATGATCTGTCAAATAATTTTAAACGTGCTTGAATTAATTTACCTTTAAGTCACCTCAACTCGATTTGCAGATAGATATCACCTTATAATGTAGTATATAGAGGTGTGCGTGTACAAGGGCGGATCCAGGGAGTCATGACCCCCATGACCCCCCCCCCCCCCCCCCACTGGGCTGGGTACAGATGGACCAAACCCAGGGGGATTTTATTTAAGTACTTTCAATATTAAATATACCACGACTATATGACCCCCACCCCCCTGGCGCCAAAGCTGGCTATATGACCCCCCCCCCTGGCGCCAAAGCTGGCTATTTGACCCCCCCCCCCCCTGGCGCCAAAGCTGGATCCGCCCTTGTGCGTGTATGACTGCATGCACGGTTGTGTAACATACAAAACACTGATCTTATAACATAACAATAGGCAGTACTTTTTTATAAATAGCCATGTGCTTATTATGTCTGCCTCCGATAAGAAACATTTCATAGAATTTCACGACAACAAGGAATATTCTTATGTTATGAAACAGAACCATATTCGTCGTGTCATCCTGGCATTCTCTGGATGCTATAATTTAATTAGGAAAGATTCATAGCATATTGATGTAATGAAATGACGAGAATAATTTAAATTTTATATATTTTTTGAGGTTGATGTCTGATGCTTTTACCGTTTGCAGTAGTGGATTATTATATAACATTGATGGTATAGCCAGTAATCTGTGTTTGTTGTTTAATAAACTGGTGAGCTTATTTCTGGTACAATTCTCTAAACCTAAAATTAAATCGAACTATTCAATTTAATTTTAGGTTAGGTTAGGTTAGTTATATAATATACCCCTGCACTATAAAAATTAAACGGGAGAGAGTCAAATTGTGTTTTAGGTTTAGGTGCTTTACTCATCCGATCTTTTTGTTCTATACCGAATCTGACAGATTATTTACCGAGAACCACGTATTATCGTTATTTTTTAGCTACGGTGTTTGTAAAATGTCATAATGCCGCTAAGTTGGGCGGGCGAGTCGCATGGTTTGGTAGGATTTGATACAGAGAGATGTCTGTACTCGATAAAGAATGTGTACCGAAACGACTCAGTGAGGAAGCTCTCATTTAATTTAATACACTCTGTAAGGAATCCGTACAGATTCAGTATAGAAACGAGAAAGAAACGAAAACGCGACGATCTGAGGAAGGCGCCTTAGAGTATCATGCTAAAATCGGGCCCACTTAATTTACATTTAAGGTAATTTGCCAAATTGCACATGTGAATGTTCCTTTTCAATAATAAGATGTGTTCTAAATTATATTATATTTATATTAATTTAAGTTGTTTATAATTTGTGATTGTGAACAGAGGCAGAGGCTTTGAGTAACTTGTGGCAGCTCAGTATTATTTAAGGCTATCAGAGTAATATTTTAAATTTGCGAAACCTTGTAAAGATATTTAGGTTAAGTAATGTACCTGAGGGTTTTATCTTATTTTTAAATGTCTGACAATGTCTGTGTATTTAGAAAATTTAAACCACTAACAGAAATCAGTTTTTTTTTTGGTACATACTAGCAAAATAAAGGTGGATACTCAACGATATTGAATACCCTAGATACACCACGTTCGCTCAAAATGTGTCCCAATCAAGAAGTGCTTGAACACAACTCAAGCACTTCTTGGTGTCACACGCGGACCGTTGAAAAGTTAAGTAGCCGCAGAGATCCGTGAAAAAATGCGAAAAAAAATACTTAAAGTATGTAAAGTGTCATTTTTGCGACAGTTGCATAATGAATGTTTGTTAATTTAACGCATTTGAAGCAAATTTTGTTCTAATACTTACTATAAACTGATTCAATAGAAAATATTTGTGATATTTAAATGCATGATCGGTAATATAGCCGTCTCTTTTCCTCGCGGTCCGTACCTCCTAATTTGCTAACAGCGCATTCAGAATTGCGCGTAGAAACAAAGAAATAAGGTATATTCTTCCGTATATAGCAATACGTCGTAAAATTTTACGAGCTCGCATTTCGAACTGTCGTAACTGTTTCACGCATGCATGTTAATTAAGATCTTATACAGTATTCATTAAAGGTGTTCAATGTTCAAATAATGCCTTATATTATTTTTGGCTACGCGATCATCTTACAGAGCTACGTGAATCGTTCAATGTACCTTTTGGACAGGTTTCGGCCACGATTTAGTTCGCGATGGTGTATCTAGGGTATTTAATATCGTTGTGGATACCAGATTTATATTTGTTGGTCCGATGATGTGTACAAGGCATTAAAATCTCTTGATAAGAAAATATCGATTTTATTATTGTTAATTTTATGATTCTAAAACATACAAACACCTATAACAATATTTATTTATTATTATTTCTATTCTGAAACAGAAATCATAAAGTAAATCATCATTCATATTGATGTAGTTTCCGCCAGATATTTCATCAATAACAATAATGACAACTATCATCATGAGGATATTAAACTAATATTAATACAACAATACTATAAATCTTGCACTGTTAATAAATTAAATAAAAATAACCCTTTTTTAAAGTAACCAATTTTCAAACAATGATTAAAGATTTGATTTTTTTTTAGTGATGAATGTAGCGTGTCGTCGACACGAGGCCTCCCCCATCCTCTACAGCATGTCTAGTTGATGATTGTATCTTTGAAGAAATGCTGTTTCTAATCTTCTCCACTCAGATCTGTTTAGGGCTATTCTTCTCCAGTTTACTGGAGGAGCCCTAAACTTTACTGGAGAAGAATAGCCTAAACTTTACTGGAGAAGAATAGCCTAAACTTTACTGGAGAAGAATAGCCTAAACTTTACTGGAGAAGAATAGTCCTAAACTTTACTGGAGAAGAATAGCCCTAAACTTTACTGGAGAAGAATAGCCCTAAACAGACTACCCCTGTTTCTTTTTTATAGTTGTAGCATTTTATGTAAATGTTCATGATCTCACTTCCAATTGTTATTTTTATGAGTAAAAGTTCTGTGAACACAGTGTTTGTGGCAATACTTGATAGATTTCTTATGAATTATATGATAACTAGGATCGTAATAAAAGAACCAAATTAGTGATTTTATCTACAGTTTTAAATGTCATTGTAAATACCATAAATAAATTGTTACATATCGGTATTGGGTTCAATTAGTTTAAATTTATTAGAATCGCGTGGCAGATGCCTGCCCGCGGGTGTAAAATACAGGTTTCCTTATGCAGAACAACTGAATTGATTGAATCTGATTTGATGTCGTTCAGTCTTGTCTTGATCTTCAAATATATTAGTAAAGTATTGAAATAAATGATTATACACTTTATTTCTTAGAGTAAGTGGCAAGTTTGTGGTAAAATTTCTTACTGAGTAAAGCGTAAGCTTATGTGTCTATCTTCTTCCTTTCCATTGGTAGTATTACTCAAATCGTAAGTATTACATGTATATTTTTGTAGATAAATTAGTAATTATTTAAAACATGAACAAACTCATCAACCTAAAGTATAACGTCATTGTATTTTACCAAGGTCGAAGGTGAACCAATAGGAAACTTATGATTTGAAGCTTCTTAATTATTGTGCAACTCTTAACTCTTGCGATATTTTCAATAAAAATGATTTTTTACATTAATTGACAGGTTTTTGGATGTTATTTTGTTCTCCATTTTATAAAACAAATCATTAATTTCGAATATTTAATTACAAGAAAAATGTGACCTATGGTCAATTATGTTATTTATCCCAAAGTATTAATTTTAAAATGTACGTATTTAATATTTAGTTCTATGTCTTTGGAATATTTATAATTTCAGGCTATGGTACACATAGTGCACAAAACAAATCATCAAGTAATTATATTATTAACTGTGT